GGGAAAGTCAAAGAATTGTGAATACTCAGCCGGCCTTCATAAAACTAGGAAGAATGAGATTTTCTGAACCAATAGTAAAACAACCTCCTTCGTTTCGTATTCCTGATGACGATCCCTGCTTTCCTTTACAACATCAGCATAACCATCAACGACAACATAGGAAACCATCAACTAAAGTAGAACAAAAGGAGTTGACTGAAGATGACGTAGAAATATACAAACAAAGGAAATGGGACGACTGGAAAGATGATCACAACAGGGGTTCAGGAAACACTTTAAGATAACGTCTTCGAAGCTCGCATGAAAGTTAGTGGAGAGGAGCATTCTTGTTAGTTGAAAGACTTCATTCCTTTGAATGAACATAGGAATTCTCTCTGTTCCATAGGCAGATTTCTTTTTCACATTTGAGATAGATATGTTTGAACCTTTGTTTGGAAACTCCAGATAAACTTCGAATCTTTTGAAAAAGAACACTGGGTACAATTTGATCTTGTGGAAGGTGGGAAAGAAGAAAAGCACATTCTTCGAAACTACTCTTCAGTAGCGCGTCTTCAAAGTATTTAAGAATGCCCAAAGCAGTTCGAAAAAGATATGCATCTCCATCCAGTATAAATCCATCCCAAACGCGAAAGACTAAATCAAGTGGTAATGACCTGCAGTATGCTGACATTATCCAACCCACCATATACATTTCTGGCTCAATTCTTATTTTGTCAAAGTGTTCATATAATGCTGGAAGTTCTGATTTGAACAGACGCTGATGAGTCTGTAGATATATTTGAACATCTGGCATTTTCATACTAAAAAAGGCAATGAAGCAAGATCGATGCAAAAGATTACAAAAACTTATAAAGGCGTCACAGCCATCCATATACAACAAAAGACCCGCTGCCAAATAGGACATACCTTGTGTATATCCAATGTCTGGTCGAAAACATACGTAAGCTTCCAACAATTCACGCAACTGTGCTTGAAGTGGGCTGCTTTCAACGTGAAAAAAAGCAAGTTCAGGAAAGGTTCGCGGAAGATCCAAATTGATGGACTTTTGGGCAGAACGCTCTCTTGAGTATAGCTGCTCTACAGTTCCTCCCGAACCACCTACATCTCCATCAGCATCTGCTATAGCACCACTTAGCTTTTCAAAGTCTTTTCTAGATTTGTCTGCTTGTTCACATAGTATGGAGTATAACTCAGGTGTTACTTTTAATGAATTGCCAATGATTCTCTTCCAAGCTTCTCCTCGTACACTTGGTGGTATCCCTTCAAATACCAGGTCTCGTAACTTGCGAGAATGTTTCTTCTGCTCCCATTTAGGTAGAATTTTTTCCCTCCAAACCTTACATAGATGCGTTTGGCGTTCTTCGTCGATAAAAACTCTCGTTGAATCTGCAGGACTTTTCGACATGACCATTCCCTGTCCCTGATCAACTCGAATATAAAAAATTTTTGGTGTATACGAAGAAAGGTTGGGTCATCTATAGAAAGTCAAGAAACAATCGTAAGGGGCTGAAAGGGCAAAACAAGCATTTTTCTACGAAATTTTAAATAAAGTCAAAGTTGTTAACTTTCTGTTATCGTGCCTTCGTGCTCTATGATAAAAAAACAAATGGCATACTTGTTGATACATTAAGCAAAATGGGAAAAAGCCTTTGGCTAAAATAGTTCTTAGAGACATGCTCATTTAAACACAAAGCAAAATCCTAGACTAGACAGCATAAAAGTGGATTCGAAAATTGAAAAACCAAAAAACAATTACATGTATATGATAGATAAACCATTTTCATGCTGTCATGATATTCAAAATCAGTAATTTGTTTAAAATAATTTTGGCAACAAAATAATAGAAAAAGTGACAAACAGTAACGTTAATTTGTTTAGAACACTGTCAGCAACTTTAATCCAACGTACAATTAATAAGTCTCAAACTAAAAATACAATGTCCCATTACATCCTGCACCAAATTTTTTATAACATGTTCATTTCAATGATTTAAGGTTTCCAGCAAAAAGTAAAAGAGATTTGTTAATATTTTAATCGTCATGACATAGCTTCAATTAATTTTCCAGACAAACAAACTTTCAAGCCTTACTTGAAAACATGAATTTTCAAGTATAATTAATCTTTAAGGAAAATACGGCCAAAGCAAAATTATCCTCCAATCATTTGAATTTATCACTTTTTAATATTTTCCAGTCATGATAGATTTCAATTAAATTTAATCTTTCTTTCTCTTTAGTTATTTAACGCCTGAAAATATCTTTGTCTGTTTAAAAACTTGGACAAAGTCGATTTATAGTTTTCTTCTTACATGGCCTTTTTCATTAAATAAAAGAATACAATAAACATAATTGAGGAAGGAGTCGAAAGATTTTATTCGTTTGGGTGTAGTTTTATTCTTTGTGTACTTATTAAAGGTTTCAAAATCACAAACAAGAAGATGGAAAGCAGCTATGTTATGAAAAGGAAGCAAAATTGTTGGTAGGAAAACCGATTGACGGATTCAAGCTTTCGGAGTTCCACAAGCCTGTAACACTACATTTTCAATTTGTTGCATTAAATGAATCAATGTTTGTAATGAAGGTCCTTCCCCATAGATACGAACAACGTTTTCAGTGCCACTTGGTCTAATAAGAAAACGATAGGAAGGCTGCGACTCTGATAAATCTTTAATCACTCTGCTGACAGACTCAGGAGCGATAACTGTTCTTTCTTGGTCGACTGTTTGGATTATTTCCTTGTTTTGCACGTGTAATGCTTTATAAATGTTCGGTAAGTCTTGATAAAGGCTTTCCCAGCTTGTCAAGTCTTGCCAACCCATAACCTTCAACAGAGCTTCTGCCAAGATGAAATTAGATATGGCATCTCCCGTTGCTTGATTTGCGATGCTAGACAACGCTAACAAACACAACGCCGCCTTTTTAGTATGTTTTGCTGTGCTTTCAATGATTTCTCTCAAGAAAGATTTTGCACTCTCTGAAAATAATATCGTCCCGTGTCCATTAGCTTCCCAAAAAATACCTATATCATATCTTCGAGCGGCTCTTTCCAAATGTTTTACACCTGTAGAAACACATTCTACTTGAATTGGTTCACCGAGGTCTTTCAAAAATGCTGTCGAAGCTCCATTTGCATAAGCAGTTTGAATCACACCGACGGATAAATTACCACCATGAAGAACATCCAAGAACTTCTTGATGACCAAGGCTGCCAAAACGGAAAGTCTGTCTCCTTCTAAAACTCGAACACGTTGACCAGTTAGACTACACCATGAATCAGATTCTGATTTTTCCGCAATAAAATATATAAGACGATCGGCATCGCCATCGAGACTACAAAAATGAACCAAAGCATTCGAAGGAATAGACTCTATCTTGGAAGAATCTGAAATGATTGGAAAGATAACGTTCTTCTGAATGAAATCTGCTCCACAGTGTTTATTGAGTTCGCCATCACCAGTGTTGACACAAAGGACATTTTTAATCTTTGTATATTCGATCAAACCTTGCATAGCCTCACTACCCACTCCATTTGCACAATCTACTATTCGAAAGACTAGAGTAAAGTAAATCTTTTGTCCATGATCAATAAATAGAATGCTTAACTGTTCTCATTCTCCAACGTATTTGTAAAAGCATATTGCGACAATGTATCCCATCCCATTGCGATTCTTTGGAAATAGTTTTCTTTGTTGGCTTGTACACCTTCGTTGGCAACTTTTACAAAATAATGCAACTGCGGTGTTGTGACTTTACCAAAACATTTATATTTCAGTCCCATCAACTTTACTGCCTGTTGAGCCAGTCTCGATAACGGCTCTGAACTTTCTCTACTATCGTAACCCACGTAAACTGTTGGTCGTACGGACTTGTTCTTCAAAGCAACATCTTCTTCGACACACAACTCTTCCAAGATCTGTCTAGGGTTATCCAAGTTGACCAATTTGGAGGCTATAGTCTCCCATTTTTCACTTAACATGGAACCGTCTGGTTCAATTATCTTTACTCCGTTATCTTCCGAAGGGTTGTGAGAAGCAGTTATCATCAAGCCAACACAAACACAAGGTATCGATAATGCTCTAGCAGCAGCTAGAATACCTTTTCAAAGCAAATATTCCACTTCAAAGCAATACCTAAAGCTGCTGTTTACTTACCACAACGGAAAACAACGGGCGGTAGTAAGTTTGCGTGTGCTCGAAACCCCGCAGTACCGTAAGAGAATTGTTGAGAAGGTTTCCATTTCTGTATTTCGAAAACAACGTTATCGTCTAACATATTTCTTTTTAATTTGCAAAGTGACTACTTTATTGTACAAAAAGCATCCGTTCAAGTGGTGTAACAACAACAAAATCCATCTTTTGCTGGTCTCCTTGAACAATGACGGATTCTAGTTTCTGGACTTTTTTGGGTTCATGTTGTCAAACTAGTTGTCGAGTATTGAGGTGAAAGTTGGTCTTGTGCTTTTCTATACGTCTTTTGAGTTTATGGACAATTCGAACTCTAACGAGACGCAAAGAAAAGACTTTGTTACCACGTGGCCTTGGAGCAACGACGAGCAACACGATGGGGAAAACGAACCATTGCTTTCCACTCACTCATCTGTTCCACAAGGTTTTCATCCAGAGAAGAGTCTTCAGATGATATCTTCTACAAGTGAAAACAAATTGGGCTTTCGTAACCTGTTTCCAGAGAGTTTTTTCTCTTCACAGCACAATGTTGATGAATACAGCAGTTATGTAGGCAACGAGAGTAATGTACACTTGCCGTTGCTACATCCTCCTCAGTTGGCTAGTCCAAAGTCTTCCATGCGCATGGAAAGTGCTATCAATAGCGTTGACCTCGTAAACTCTTTGTATGCTGACGAGAGTTCAGAAGAGGAGTGCAAGATTATAGCTTTTGTGAATTGTAAAAGTGGTGGACAACGTGGAAGGGATGTGATGGAAGTTTTGAAGCAATTATTGGGTTCTGAATTCAGTGTTTAACTTGGCCGCAGATGGTGGACCTGTATTGGGCTTTCAGAGGTTTTGTAATTATTCAGATTTAAGAGCACTCATATGTGGAGGTGATGGTACATTTAGTTGGGTTGCAGGTGCGTTGCAATTCCTTTCAGTGTCTCCACGAATTGCTCCGGTTCCTTTGGGAACAGGAAATGACTTGTCACGTTCACTTGGTTGGGGAGCACAGTATCCAGGTAGAGCTCGTTTATCTTCCATCATTGAGTCAGTTAAGAAGGCATATTTCTGTAATCTTGATGTTTGGCATGTGAAGATATCTGTCAATGGAACGTTGCCAGATTTGACCTATCATAGAGATATGTTAAACTCGTTACCTAAAGAGATGTTTTGTGAAGGTGGTGCTCCTCACTCAACTTCGATGGTGAATTCTCTTAGTTTAGGTGTCGATGCAGAGGTAGAAATGAGGTTCAATGAAGAGCGATGGCGAAATCCTGAAAAGTTTAAAGGCCAACAGTTGAATGTCTTTCTTCATGTTTGGCACGGTCTGGAAGGATTTTTTAGTTGTCACAAGTCAGTGAAAGACTGTATTCGCTCATTTCAAGTAGATGGAAAGGAGATTCCTATTTCCGGTGCACTTGAGTCGATTATCATTTTGAATATTCCAAACTACGCTGCAGGAGGGCTTCCTTATAAATTAAAAAAGGCGACTAAGAAGATGTTGCCATTAAAAGAAAAGAAGGTTCGTTGTTTGGTTGGTTGATATTTGCAATGCTTCAATTTGTTTTAGTTTTCGGAGGCAGCGGTTGATGATGGTCTTTTAGAGATTGTAGGTTTAAGGAATTTAGCGCATGTTATTCGTATCCGTTTAGGAGCTGGCGCAGTAAAGTTGGCACAAGGGAGACATGTTCGTATAGAGTTGGTAAATGCTTGTCGTCCTCTTGCTTTTCAGGTATGGTTGTGAAACTGTGGTTATTCTATCATTATGAATATCTTTATTGCGTATCTTATTAGGTAGACGGTGAACCTTGGAGACAAAACTGTGGAGTCGTTGAAATCTCACCGGGAAAGCAACAACCAGTACTACTCGGTCCTCGTCATCAGATTGCTTCTCGTAAACACGCTCAGTTTACTGCTGGAATACGGCAATGTTTTGTATGAGACATTTTGTGTGGTCAGGAGAACAGGTGGTGTGTAGTACTAACTCTCATCTTTTGCAATATATATATAATATATATATATATATATATATATTCGTTCCCATCTAACAGAACCCTAAAGCAATGACTTTGAGCGAAATAAAGTTCACTCGTTCCAAAATGATGATGATGTTGTTGTCAGATAATACATGCCATAGATGTTCTTTTTCAAAGAGAAACTAAGAGAAGCAGCAGTTTCTATGTACTCTCTTATTTTCTCTCAATAAGAACGCAGCATATTCATCATTCCAACCTTTCTTTTTATGAAGTGGTATTCTTACCTTGGGCTCTATAAGACTAGGGTTTCATAAAAAAGAAACCATCATCCGCCTGCCATAAACACTCTGTACTTTTCCTCTTGTTTCCAGAAACTTCTAAATGACCTTCAATAGGATCAGGATATGCATACTTGGCGTTGGAATATAAAAATGATTTGGTATCCACATGCTTTAGATACACAGCTTCACCGCGTTTCCATTCTTTCGCTCTGTTGTCTGCACACAACAACTGAAAGACATCACCACTATCCCCTTCACCATCAACTCCAAAGGCACTAACTTCCAAGTTTCCCGAAATGGGTGACTTGGGTAAGTGACTATGTAGATTCTTTTTAGTATTCAAATGTTCTAGCCGAATAAAAGAACCACAAAGAATAGGGTTGCCTTGAGAAAATAAAGTCTCGTTGTGAACACCCTTTGCTAACCAAAAGCTGTTACTGTCTCCACCAAAAGGATATGCTGTAACAGATTGTTGTCCACTACCAGTACCATACACAACTTCATGGGAGTGAAGCCGATAGCCCGTTGACTGATGACAAAGTTTGATGACTGAACCATATGTCACCCAGTTCCAATCTTATACAAGAGCAAGTTTTAGAGGGACCAACAACAACGGGTATAAACGAGTAGTAGACTGAATCTACTCACCTTCTACTTGTTCATCATTCAAGTCACCTAATACAACCAAGAATAGTAAGCTAAAACACAAAAAAAGTAGACTACTTTTGGCGCCTTCCTGTGTCCTACGAGCCATCATCATTCCCCTATCAGTTTCTCTTTGGGAATTGTCGACGTTCACATCGATGTCTCAAGACACTTACACTTTTGAAAAGTTAGGAGTTTGTAAAATACTTTGTGAGGAATGCAAAAATGTAAACTATCAAACTCCAAGTAAAATTCAGATACAAGCTATTCCTTATGCCCTCAGAGGAAGGGATATTATAGGAATAGCAGAGACTGGGTCAGGAAAGACAGCCGCTTTTGTCATTCCCATATTACAGTCGTTGTTGGATCATAATAAGCCTTATTTTGCACTCGTTATATCGCCTACTAGAGAACTAGCATTTCAAATCAAGGAACACTTTGAAGTAAGTTTCTTGTAGAATGCCTTTGATAGGAACTTTGAAAGTGAGGTGTATATAGTTGTTGGGTCGCAGTATTGCTCTACGAGTAGTTGTTATCGTGGGTGGAGTAGATATTGTATCTCAAGCAGCTGCCTTTGCTAGAAAGCCCCATGTGATAGTAGCAACGCCTGGTAGGCTGGTTGATCACTTGGAAAATACCAAAGGCTTTAGTTTGCAGTCCATCCGTTTTTTAGTATTAGATGAAGCAGTAAGTATAAAAGAGTGGAAGAGTTGAAATATTGACGCTAGGTATAGGATCGACTGCTTTCGATGGATTTTGAAAAAGAGTTGGAGAAAATTATTGCTGCGCTTCCGAAAGAAAGGCAGTCTTTCTTATTTTCAGCAACTATGACTCGGAAAGTGCAGAAACTTCAGCGCGTCTCGTTGACGAATCCTGTGAAATTACAAGTATCAGAGAAATATGCTACTGTGGAAACTTTGATACAAAACTACTTATTCATTCCAGCCAAATATAAGGATTGTTTTCTGGTTTTTCTTTGTCAAGAATGGAGTGGTCATCCGACTATTATCTTTGTGGATACACAAAATAGTACCCTTCGACTGTCTCTATTATTGAAGAACTTGGGATTCGGTGCAACAGCTATTCACGGAGGAATGCTTCAAACCAAGCGGTTGGAAGCTCTTTCCAAGTTCAAACAAGGTAAAAAGACGGTTCTTATTGCTACAGATTTGGCTTCAAGAGGGTTGGACATTCCTTCTGTGGACTTGATTGTCAATTATGATATTCCTCTTCACGTGAAAGCTTATATTCATCGAGTGGGTAGAACATCTAGAGCTGGTAGAACAGGACGTGCTATTAATTTGGTTACTCAATACGATATCGAAGCCTATCAGAAAGTGGAACAATATATTCAGAAGAAATTGGATGCATATCCATGTGATGAAGATAGAGTATTTCATCTTTTAGAGTGAGTATATTTTTATATTGTGTACTCATAAGAATATATATTTATATTGATGGATTGTTTTAGACGAGTATCAGAAGCAGCTCGTATAACTGCCCAACAGATGAAAGAATGGAATCAGAAGAAGAAAAACTCGAGACATGAAATAGCTACGAATGATTCCTTGCTTGAATTAGATGACGAAGACGGGGAACAAGGCGAGTCTTTAGGGTCCGAAATGATAGTCTACCAGAAGAACGGTAAGAAACGAAGAAATAGATGAAGGAGTGGGCTGGAAATGAGCGACGAATCAACTTGAAAAGTATTCTTCTGGATCGTATTCTTTATCATTTCTTCCTCCATAATCCACTTCTAACTGAAATCGAAAGTTATAGAAGAATGGAAAACTTGTCATGATAAGTTTCTTACCTCATCCAAGTCAAATACTTGTTGGGCAAACTCCATCCATTCTTTACTCTTTTTTGTGTTGTTAACTTTAAAAAAGTAGATTTTCTGGACTGTGTTTTTGTCAATAAATGGTTTGATAATCTAACATAGCTGTGATAAGATATCAGTTGATGTGTCAGAACCTTACCTTGTAAAATGTATAAAATAGAGTTGGTGCATTGAGACAAATAGCCAAGCCTAATCTCTCTGGATAATAGTCCTATCACGCTTTTTCATATGGAGTCCGATACAGATTCTATCTATAACTTACTTGTAAAACAGTCAAAGTTTCCCGCATCATTTTGATACTTGGAGTATTCCGCATAGAATAACCCTCAAAATCAATAAATAGAATCAGTTTTTCTACTCCGTTCTGCATTCTTCGAATAGCTTTCTCTAAAGTATAAACCTATAAAAGTTATATTGAAATCCTATTTAGCTATGTTGTTTTTTATATTTACCAGATGTTGTAACTGATGAATGCTTTCCTTGGTATTCTGATACTTTGGTTTCATATAAATGATGGGGCGACCATACTTGTCTTTACCTCCAACATACAACTTTTGACTTGAGCCTTCTTCCTTCACTTGAGGAGGCACTTTGTTCATCAATTCTTCAACTTCAAAGTTCTTTCGCCATTCCAATGTCCTCCTAACCAGTTCTAGTGCTTTGTCGACCTAAGACAATATAAAGATAGGAATATCAAGAGGGAGAGAACACTTGCTTGATTATTTCTAGCACGCAAATATCTCAAAAGACAGGCATCGTCGCACCTATTTATTTTCAAAGTCTTTTAAGAATCACAAAGGTACGAATGCTTACCACTCTACATCCTTGGAAGAGCCATCAACAAGAATGGAATTGACCTTGGAACGTAACGACTGTAAACACTGCTTCGTTTCTTCATCAAGTGGTTTTGCCCATACTTCCCCTTTGATATGGTTATCTTTGACTATTGAGGTACTCTCTGCCATAGTTACTCTACACAAAAAATTTTGATCAATTCAAAGCCGCTGAAATAATTTTGTGGCGAGAATGATTAAGTTGCTGGGCTTCTCGATTGTCTCTCCACTTGTTGTGAGTAGTTGTAAAAGAGTATCTCATCGCTGTCACCATTGCGATGTAAAATATGCAACAACGAACCAAAAGTGTTTCTACAGCAACTGCATATATATTTCTATGATAGATGGGCAAAACTGGACTTGGATTGCCAACAGGGTTTCTTCTGCTGTTTCTAACACTTCTTCTCCTTATACAGCTATCTATTCCATAGTATTTCCTTTATCCACTATACCCTATCTTTTATTTCTCAAAGTGAGTTTGCCTCAGTATTTCAAATTTACGCTGTTAATGCGAGAAAACAAGGGTTTGTGGAAAAAGCAAACAGTACCAACCGTTGCTAAAATAGGTTTTTCCTATTTGCTTGTTTTTGTTTTGTTTTCTATTGTGGGAGTAAGTTGATGTTTTCGTTGCAAGTGGGTGGCGCATTCAATTGACTTTTAGAGTCTATTGGCACAAAATCTATATCAACAGACACTTTCCAATGTGGACTGGTTACACGGATGTGCAGAACAGTTTCTTTCTGTTACTACTTTTTGTATATTATTAGGTTATCAACTTTTTATGGATCAACTAAAAAGAAAGTAAAGTGAACAATTCGAGTTCCAAAATCATTTCTTGGGAAATGAATTGGCTGAAGAGTCGGTCTTCTTCCTCCGCTTCCTCCACTCATGGAGAGGAGTCACAAGAGAACAAAGAAACACAGAGTCAAGCCACCCCAAGTGAAGAAGAAGTTAGGAGAAAACGACTTGCAAGATTTGAAGTACTTAACAAAGGAACCTCGCGTTCCACTGTGGAACCTAAAGAGCAACAAACCACTGCAAGCAAAAAAGAATCCTTTTCCAAGGAACAAGCAGACAGCCATATTCAGTCTTCAAGTACAAGTTCAATGCATAGAAACCAAACTTCTCTGGCCAGTTCTAATGATAAAAACTTTGTAGCTGCAGTTCGTTCTTCTTCCACTGCTGTAGCTTCCACCCAAGGCAGCAAACAGAGTTTAGAACAATTACAGGAACAGATTATATGCAGAATTCTTAGAATAACGTTGAATGAACAAACGAGTTCAGAAGAGCTGATTTTTATGAAGGATTTGAAAGAGGAATGGCTTACAGAAAAAAGTAGTTCGGAAGTGCTGGTTACTAAAGACAGAGCAGACAGAATAATATTTGAAAGACTATTACAAACGGGGTCTGGTTTAGACCCTCTTCGTTACTTGTTGGAATCATATCAGAGAGCTGCCGACCAGGAATCCCTCTTATCCATATCCTTTAGTGCAGAAGTGAAGCAGCCTTTATTAGATACTGTTACGTTTGTAAAGAAATTGATAGTTTCTTATTTAGGATTGTTATTGAGTAATTCGGAATTGTTCTATACGGATTCACCCATGTATCGTTCTGCGCACTTTATGGAAGCCTTAGTGGAAGATAGAATACCTGCAGGTTTACTAAAAGATATAGTGACAAGATTTGAAGAGGAAGATGATAACACTCTAGCTGAAATATTTTATCCAATTATGGAACTTTTATGTTCTAAAGCAATGAAAACATCTCTGCTCAAGGGAAACTTTGCAGCAGCATTGAGAGCTTTGGGAGGCTTACTTTCTTTCAAGTCACTTGCCATTTTGTTCACTCGTCATCGTAACTTTAACTTGAGTGAAGAAAGAATATCTCAGCCCTCTGTAACGGGTAGAAGTGTATGTCTCCATTTTCTTTGTACGCTTAAATACTGAATATGGTTTAGATGGAAATGGAAACCTTGCTGGGTCCCTTCTTCCGCCTAACAGCGTTGAAAGATGATGACGAAATAGCCAATACTCTCTTTAGCAATCCACGGAAAAGGACTCGACAAGATGTGGATCAGTCTATGTCTTCTCTAAGAGCTTCTCTGAAAGTTTTAAGACATGGCCTACATGAGATTCTGTTGTCCCTTTTAAAGGCTAGTCCCGAATCTCGCGAATCTGTCTTGAAATGGTTTGCCACTTTTTTACATTTCGATAAGGAGCGTGTCAAGCTACAAGCGGATTATAAGAAACTTGCAACCGATGGGTTTGCGATGAATGTTTTATCTGTTCTACTTTTGCTGAGTCAACCTTTTGCTGATCCTCGTTCTCCTAAATTGGATAATATAGACCCTACTTTTTGTGTTTCCAAACATCGAATCGATTATTCTGGAGAAACGAGGTTGGCTGTGGATAGTGAAGATCTTGCTAGATGGGTAGATCCAAAGAATCCCAATGCGCAAGTTAGTTTTCAGAATATGAAGAGACAGCAAGCTATGGAACTTGCCAATAGTGGAACAAGGTATGTTTATATTAGACTAGCTTAAGGAATAATTGTGACGCCTTTTACCTAGCACCTTTTCAGATCAGAAGACGGACTCTATACAAGTGAAGGACCAATATCATTTCATTACGGAATGTTTCTTCCTCGCCTTACGTTCTTGTCAGTTGGTATTTGGTGGAACCATTCAAATGTATCAAGAACATATTTTAAGAGGTATGCAACATTTATATTCGTTACAGAGAGATATGGAATCCAGTCAAATGAGTGCAAGCAGTAGAGGAGGACCTTTAGCTTCCATTATGGAAGCAAGACTGAACGAAGTTAATAGACAGTTGGACTTATTGATCGTTCAAAAGCTTTCGTATGATGTATATTTACAAGATGAGGAGTTGTTATCGCTTTTGCTCCAATTTTGTGCAACAGTAGCTTCATGGCTTTTGAGAATTGCCTTTGGAAATCAAATAAGGTCAAGTCAAGACTTGAAACTTCCATTACCAACTCCACCACCCACATTGTTATGTACGCTTCCAGAACATACTGTAGAAGTAGTTGCCGATGCGCTTTTATTTTGTGCCCGTTTTTGTCCATCGACTTTAGATTCCGTCTCATTTATTCATCATGAAATGTTAGGCTTTCTTTGTGCTATAGTTTCATCACCCCTTCATGTTAGAAACCCTTATTTGCGTTCCAAGTTTGTGGAATTTCTTTGGGCTATTTTAGGTGATCCACCTTCTCCACAAAGTCCACAAGAAGAGTGGATCAGTCGAAGTACTGCGTGGACGGCATCTTTCGAGTCCAATCCAGTATGTCAAAAATATTTGCCAGGAGCACTGGTTCGTTTGTATGTAGAAGTGGAACATACGGGAAGTCATTCGCAGTTCTATGACAAGTTTTCTATTCGTTATCATATCACATGTATCTTTTACTACATGTGGCACTTATCAACATATAGAACTTCCATTCGTTATGAAGCAGAGAATGAGTCAGTATTTGTGAAGTTTGTCAATATGTTATTGAATGATGCAACTTATTTATTGGACGAAGCTTTGGGTGACTTGACAGAGATTCATTCATTACAAGAACGCTTGGATGAGAATGGTTCGTCAAGTGATTCTACAGAACGACAAGAACAGCAGTCCCGATTGTCGCAATTGGAACGGCAAGTAAAGTCGTATAATTTGTTGTCACATTCTAGTGTGAATATGTTGCATTTTTTAACCGAAGACGATAGAGTTCGCAAAGTTTTCTTGAAGCCGGAAATGGTCACTCGATTAGCTGAAATGCTCAATTATTTCTTATTGCAGCTTTGTGGCCCAAAATGTCAGTCTTTGGTGGTACGTAATAGGGAACAATATGCTTGGGAACCTCGCGTATTGTTAACTCAAATTGTTGGAATCTATTTACATTTCCGAGAAGAAGAAGATTTTGCAAAGTCTGTGGCCAAAGATGGTCGAAGTTATAGTCAAGAAGTAAGTAAGAAATAACCTATAGAGAGAATGGTGCTGATTTGAGTATTATTAGTTATTTGAAAGAGCGTTAGACATTGTCCACCGTCGTCGATTACTTTCAGATGAAGAATGTCACGAGTTGCAGCTCATGATGAAACGCTTTCAGGAGTTTGAAAAGCTGGAGTCTGAAGATGAAGATCTTGTTCGAAATGCTCCGGAAGAATTCCTTGATCCTATCATGGCCACCATTATGAGAGAGCCTGTGTTGTTACCGACAAGCCGAACTATTGTTGATCTTTCCACTATTTCGCGTCATTTATTGAGTGACCCTAGTGATCCATTTAATCGGGAGTTTCTTAGTATGGAAATGTTACAACCTCAAGAAGAGTTGAAACGAAGGATTGAAGATTATATTGCATCTAAACAGAAGAAATAAAAGATTTTATTCTTCGTCGTCATGTAATTTTAACAATAGACGAATCACTTTGCCTTGGTCAAGTTGGTCGAAGCCTTCATTGATCTGGTCCAAAGTGATAACACCAGATATGAGTTTATCAACTGGTAGTCTACCTTCCTTGTACAGTTGCACATATCTTGGAATATCTCTAGTAGGGACACAACTTCCTAGATACGAACCTTTCAAGGTACGTTCTTCTGCTGTAATAGTGACTTGAGAAATGGAAAACTGAGTTTCTGGATGGGGAAGACCAGCAGTAACGGTTGTACCGCCTGGACGAGTAATTCCATAAGCAATTTTCAAAGTGGGCCCACTTCCTGCCATTTCGAAGGCATAGTCCACTCCACGACCTTGTCGGGTGAGTTGCTTGATGGACTGTATCAAGTTATCCAATGATGTATCTTTGGTAGATAATACAGCGTGAGAAGCTCCCAATTTCTTAGCAAGATCTAGTTTAGACTGTTCCAAGTCGACCACGATGATGCTACTCGCACCTGCAGCCAAGGCTCCCAATAGAGCACAGAATCCAACACCACCTAAACCAACGATAGCAACACTTGCTCCAAACTCTATTTTGGCAGTATTGACAACAGCACCTACACCAGTAATAACAGCACAACCAAATACTGCTGCATATTTGGGAGGAATCGATGGGTCTATTTTCACCACCGAGTTTTTGTTCATCACCGAATAAGTAGAAAAAGCAGCTACACCTAACAAATGGTGTATCACTTTAGGGTCGGTTGGTTTGCTGACTTGTCTGGATAAGTGGGATTGGCCACATAACAATAGTCCAGCACCATTTGCTTTTGATCCAGTAGTACAAGTGGCAGGTCTACCCGTGCGACACGAGTCACAGGTACCACAACTCGGAACAAATACACAAGAAACGATATCTCCTACTTGCACGTTATCCACGTTCTTGCCAACTTGTTGAATTCTTCCCACTGCTTCGTGACCCAATGCCATGGGAGTGGGTCTAGGACGACTTGCATTGATAACAGATAGGTCCGAATGGCATAAACCTGCATACAACAGCTTCACCAAAACCTCTTCATCGTGAGGAGGTGCCAACTCCAACTCTTCGATTACGATAGGCTTACTTTTGGCATAAGGAGTGGGTCTTCCCATTTCTTGCAAAACTGCAGACTTTACCTTCATTTTTCAAAAGCAAGTTTTTACCAACGCTATTTTCACTTGAAGAGAAAATAGGTCGGTAGAAGAAATCCGAGTTTCTCTACGATGATCAACCCATTCTGAGTGGTTTGAGAGATGTAAAGGTAAATTGGTTTCGGTTGTTCTAGTTGACGATGTCACACAAGTCAATGAAAGACTTACTAGCGTCTGCTCCTAAAAACTGGGGTAGATGGGGTCCTGATGATGAACTTGGCTCGCTAAACTTTTTAACTCAGCAAGAAGTGTTGAGAGGTATTCGGTCGGTTCGACTTGGGGAGGTGTATACTTTGGGTGAGTTGATTGCCAATCCAAAGGGAGAACCTGTATTCCCAGGAAGAACGGGAGCACTCAAGTTCATGACTCAAGATAAGAGTTATTATAAAAGTGGCAAATCTCATTCGTTGCCTGGTGGTGGTGAGTATTCTGATGATGGCATAACTATGTACTTGCAGGGTTCCACACAATATGATGCTATGGGTCACTTTTGGTATGATGATCATATTTGGAATGGATATTCTGCAGATACTACTATGGGAGGTATGGAGAAAGCTTCTATTGTCCCTATTGGAGAGAAGGGAGTCGTAGGACGTGGGGTGTTGATAGATATGCCCAGAATTCGTGGTAAATCTCGTTTAGATAAAGGAGAAGAGATCACATTGCAAGACATTAAGGATGCTGCATCGAAACAAGGAGTTACTATAGAGAAGCATGATATTTTAGTTATCCGCACTGCATTTTTGCAAAGTTTTTATGAACAATCGAGAGAAGAGTTTTATGATGGTTTGAATGAACCAGGCATGACGTATTCTCCGGAATTGGTGCAGTGGTTCCATCAAATGGAAATTCCAGCACTTTGTACGGATACGATGGCGAATGAATTGACAGTGCATCCCGAGTCTAAAGTATTATTGCCATTGCATTGTGCACTTTTAAGAAATTTGGGAATCGCGTTTAATGAAATTTGCAATTTGGAAAAATTGGCAGCTGCTTGTGAAAGGCATCGCAAATATGACTTTTTATATGTTGGTGCTCCACTTAAAGTTTATCGTGGTACTGGTGCTCCAGTGAATCCAGTAGCCATTTTATAAAGGATAGTTGAAACTTGTTAGAAGAAGAGTTGTAGATGAAATTGTGAAATCTTTTCAAATGCCATTTCCATCCAAAAAGAAGCGTGCCAAAGTTCAACCCAAGTTGACAAAAGGGATCCACTTGGGTCCTCAACTCACTTTGGGTACGCTGAGCGTGGCCATACCTTGCTCTATTTTAGAAAATATACAAAAAGCACAACTACAAACATATGTCATCGGACAATTGGCTCGTACACTCACCATATTCAAGGTCGATGAAATAATATTGTATTCGCAAGACCGGAACAAAGAGGAAGCTGCTCCATCGATAGCTTTTTTAAAACTTTTATTGGAATATTTGGAAACTCCACAATATCTGAGAAGGCACTTGTTTCCAATGAGTGAGAACTTAAAGTATGCAGGTTTGTTGAATCCAATAGATGCACCTCATCACTTGAGAAAAGACGAATGGCTACCTTGGAGAGAAGGTGTCATATTAGAAGAGAAACAGGGTGGAGTGTATCTGGTCGATGTAGGATTGGATCGACCTGCAACAGTGAAGGCGCAACATAATGTAAAGAAAGGAGAAAGAATAACGGTTTCTTTTGACCAGTCGAAAGAGACGTCTGATCCTTTGATGGGTAGTTTGTGTTTCAAAGCAACTCCAAGAGAAAAAGGTGGATTGTATTGGGGATATCAAGTTCGTATTGCCACTGCTCTATGCAAGACTTGGGAAGAATGTCCTTATGAAGGTGGTTATGATAAAGTGATTGGAACTTCAGAAAGAGGTAAAAGTATTGACGACCCTTCTTTTCGCCTTACTCCTTGTCGTCATTTATTGTTAGTATTTGGTGGAAGGAGAGGTTTGGAATATGATGCTAGCAGAGATGAAAAGTTATCTGTTCAAGGAGTTGGGCGTTATTTTGGTGTGAACGAGCTATTTCATGACTATATTAATATTTGTCCTTTTCAGGGTTCTCGAACAATACGAACTGAAGAAGCAGTGATGATTGCTTTGAGTCGTTTACAACCTTTTCTTTATCAACAAAAAGTCTAGTCGATCGTATCTTAAGTGTGGCTTTATTCTTTTGGAGTTTCCACAGACTGTCCTTTTCTTCTAGCCTTCTTTTTGGCTTTCTTCAACTTTCTCCATAAGGCTACTTTAGTTTGTAAAGCAACTTTTTCTTCTACTTGTTGAGACAACGGTTTTTCCAAATAATATTCCTTGAGATAAGGTTTGAGAATATCATATGGACCTCCTAGAGCTACCAACACTTTGAGTCTTTCTTCTCTATTGGCATCTCGTAGCTTTCCATCAAAATCCCTGACATATATAGGTCTACAATCACTCCTAACTTTCCTACTAATATCTACAAATAGATATTTGGTTCTACGAGGAGATACGGCATCTTCCAATAAACCCAAGCTCTTGTAAGAAGCTTCTGGTGAAGGCTCCAAGTAGTTTTTCACCGTTTCCACTTCCTTTTCTACACTTTGCTTATCTTCCTTTGTAGTGCCAATAGTTCTAAACCCTAGTTGCTGCAACACATCGTCGGTAGTTTCTCCAGTAAGATCATCCTTCCTTTCCAACTTTGGCCAACTCCGGATGGAAGCACTTGGTTTTGGTTGTGGTTCCGAGAATGCTGCTCTTTGATTGGATAACAAACTGGAACTTTCCACCGATTTCCTTTTCTCATACATCTTTTGAAAGTGTTGCACTGCTTCTTGGTCCAATCGAGTCACCACGGACTGCGCTAATCTATCTGTTTCTACCAGAAACTTGATGGTGCGTTCTGAAACTTTGAAACGTGACGCTAATACTTGTTTTGACCATTTTTCGGGGTCTGCTTTGTATAGTTCCAATATTCTCTCTTTTACAGTGGTAGTGAGAATAGGTTCTGGTAGTATATCTTGAGAAGTGGAGGAAACCGTAGTTTGGGACCTTTTAAGAAATAAGTTGCACGTTTTCAAGACTCTTTTCCACACCTCTCGTGGATAAGTAGCCATCTCTTGTTTCATACACTTGATGGCCGTCGTCATTGAGAAAAGCATTCCATCATCCAACAGATGAATGTTGAAGAGTTTCAAAAGATCTTCTCAACAGATACGTTGTGTGCATGTATAATAGTGATTCATATGATTATCATTCATTAGATATTCAATAGTTGAACATATGAAATGGACTCTTTGGAGAAAACAAGTGAATGGATAATGTTATCATGTGGCTTCAAATTTGGGGTGCCAATACCAACGTAGGAAAGACTGTTATTTCTACTGGGATCGTGTCACAACTACTTAAGAGAGTAGCTCATTGTTTGTACTTGAAACCTGTACAAACTGGGTATCCTCCCGACGATGACGCAGCTTTTGTGCAAAGGCACTGTAAGCAACTGTGGAAGGACGATGACAGAGGAGTGGATCAACGATTGAGTTGCAAGAAACTCTTTGTGTTTGAACAACCATTGAGTGCAGAAGAAGCAGCTAGAAGACAAGGTGAACAAGTTAGTGACCAACAAGTTATGCAAGCTATATGGAAGGAATGGGAAAATAGGCACGAGTCTGCAATCATCATTGAAACTGCAGGCGGTGTATTATCACCATTGCCAAGTGGAACGAGTCAAGCAGATGGTTATCGCTCATTGCGTCTTCCAGTTGTTCTTATAGGAGACGGTGCTCTGGGTGGAATATCTACTACTATGACTTGCTATGAATCCTTGTTATTGCGAGGCTATGATGTTCCCATCATAGCAACTATTGATCAAGGTTATCCTAACTGGGAAGCATGGAAAAGAACTATTCATGAGAAAGATACTCTTATCATACCATTCCCTCCGTTACCTCCTAAGGATATTCCATTGTTCAGTGACTGGTACTTGAAGCCACAAGTACAACAAGCATTTCAATCCATCGTCGAGCATGGCAATACATATTTTACGAAAAGATCCAAAAAGTGGGAAGAAATGGAACAAAATGCTCCAAAACTATTTTGGTGGCCATTTACCCAACACGGAAGTACTTTACATCCCGTTATCGTAGACTCAGCATTCGGAGATAATTATCAAGTGGCACAAAAGAAATCAAAAGGAACCCATTCCAGGCCACCTTTTTTTGTTTTCAAATCAAATGAAGATTCCTCTTCATGGCATTTGTTGGATGCTTTTGATGGAGTTGCAAGTTGGTGGACACAAGGTGTTGGTCATGCCCATATTCAGTTGAATAAATCCATGATGAAGGCTGCTGGACGTTATGGACACGTAATCTTCCCTCAAGTCATTCATCAACCAGCTTATCAACTATCCAAAGAATTGATAGAAACAGTAGGTTATCCTTGGGCCAATAGAGCTTATTACTCGGATGATGGCTCAACAGCGATCGAAATTGCTATCAAAATGGCGTTGCGATTGTATTCTACGCGTCATGGAAAATCCCAACAACAGCAACAACTTGAAGTATTGAGTTTCTTTGGTTCATATCACGGAGATACTTTGGGTGCAATGGATTGTTGTCCCAAAGGAGATTACAATGAGTTGCAATCGCCATGGTTCCAACCAAAGGGCGTATTTATAGAACCTCCAAGAATAGGAATGCAAAATGGACGCTGGATATTGGATATTTTGAACGGCAACAATAATTGGTTTCCAACTGATTCGATTGCGAACCAGGTACATTGGGATAGTTGGGATGAGATGGCAGACTGGCAACGAGTTGATTCAGAAATAGGAAATATGTATCAACAATATATAAACAAAGTATTGGACAGTTCAAGTACCATCGCTACTTTGATAATAGAGCCTTTGATTCAAGGAGCAGGTGGAATGCGACTCATCGATCCTTGTTTTCAAAGAATTCTTATTCAAGAAGCCAAAAAGAGAGGAATTCCTGTCATATTCGATGAAGTATTTTCAGGAATTTGGAGACTTGGTGTACTTTCATCCACTCATTTGTTGGGAGTTTATCCTGATATCGCGGCATATGCGAAACTATTGACGGGTGGATTATTACCTATGGCAGTTACTCTTACAACGGAAGAAGTATTCGACGCGTTCAAGGTATTCTTAAGAAATAGAGCAAATCGATTGTTGATAGTCTAATAATATGATTGTTGTTGTTATCTTAGGCTGATAAGAAAAAGTTTGCATTACTTCATGGACATTCCTATACTGCTTATCCAGTAGGCTGTCAGGTCGCCTTGGATTCACTGGCTTATTATCGAACTTCTTCCCATTGGCAAGAGGAGGAGTCATCGAAGAACCAAAACAGAATGACTACCTTTTGGAATGTGGAAAAAGTGAAAGAGTTGAGTTCACTGCCAAGTATTCGTATGGTCTCATGTTTGGGAACTGTTTTGGCTATAGAGTTGAGATCTCCGCAACAAGGTTATCATGCTTTGGTAACACAGGATCTACTGGACTCCTTACTTTCACAAGGAATTTATACTCGACCTTTGGGAAATGTGATTTATTTGATGTGTTCACCTTGTACGGAGTCATCGGTATGTGACCAACTGTTGGACAAGTTACTGGAAAACCTTTCCAGCTCGAACAAGCCACTCTTGGTGCATCAAGACGATGTGGCCATTCCATAATATAAAACCTTTAGGTTTCTGTTTTATCTATCAAATATATCTTCCATTGTTTTTGAAGCCAGTTTGCTTTCTATCAGATCCAAGTTTCGGTTCCATCTCTCTTCCCAACGTATGAGCTTGTTATCATCCTTGGAAAGAATCAGATACCTAAAAAACCGTGAGTGTTAAGTTTTTGCTTTTTTGCCATCATTACTTGTATTCCATTAGAATATGTGGCAATTTCAGTTTGGTTTTCCATAAACCCTCACTACAAGGCTCTCTTTCTAGATATTTGGCATCTTCCAGTTTCCAGTTACCCAAAGCCTGAGTAGAGCCACAAACAGCTAATACTGCGTTGTCTCCTACATAAAAAGGACAACTACAAGAAAATACGACTGTTACTGTGTTTGTAAGCTCATCTCTGGAGGCCTGTTGTGGAAGACGGACGGGCATCCTCATCATCATTCCCCCTTCCAACATTCATTTCTTTTTTCTTCTCTTCATTGCGCGCCTTTTCTTATTTCACAACTTTGCCAACCAACACAGTAATATCGTCACGTTTTCCACCCAAATATATAAATCCTGCTTCGTTGGCGTTTTCGGCAAAAGGACTCGTTTTGTTTTCATCCATAGAAAATTCCATAGCAGTTTGTGCCAAACGATGTGCTAATAACGGAGGGTCTACATTTTCTAAAGAAACCACGGTCATTCAAAAATATCCTTTGAGAAAACTCAGTCACACATATTTACCATCATAACATCCAATCAATTCCAAAATTTCCTCAGTTTTCATGTTATCAAACAATCCATCCGTTCCTAGAATCAACCAATCCCCTACTTCTATTCTCAAGTCGATGAACCTACGCAACCACAAAGTTGAGAATGATTCCATGTCGACAAGATACACACCATTCTAAAGGATTGGCATGTATCCGAAATATAGGACCTACTCTCCATCTTGTACTCGATTGCGAGATCCAGTACCCAGTTGAAAAGGACAGTTGAAGAAGTGCTGTTGTTCCGTCGTTCGAAAAAGTACAGAGCCCTTTCGAACCTGCAAGAATCCGGAATCACCCAAATTCAACTACATAAAAGATGTTCAAGTAAACGTAAATATGTTAGAATGAAACAAACCCCGATGAGGCTATCCTTTTCCTCACAATAGGCAACCACAGTTGCCGTACTACTGCCCATAAAAGTGGTGCTTTGTGCAGCATACTCTAAAGCGTCAACAATTTGACAAGAACCTTTTATTCTCACCTTGCGCTATATTGAGACAAGCAATAAATATCTATCATCCAATATTACTTACCAACTCTGCAGTTTTGTTGGCCAATTCGTTGGCATACAATGAAGGATCGACTCCTTTCGCTTCCCAACCACCGACGCCATCGAAAACACCTGCAGCGTTTTCTTCCACAAAATAGGCATCTTCACCTTTTCCTGAGCCCAACTAGTATACAATGTAGGAAATAACAGTCCTCATAGTTCAATACGCGATGGACTTGCCTTGTCAGGATGCGGTAACCCAGCAGCACCCCAATGAAGGTGTATACAACGAGATACTATTTTCACTATATCTTCTTTTTGTTTATTATAGTGTCTTACGATCCATCCCATAGGTTTTGGTTTCATTATGGATAAACCAAGTCGACTACACTGCATCCAGACACTCTTTGGGGGCAGTTTCAACAATCCAAAAGATGACAAGTCTCGTTGAACACATAACCATTCCTAGTTTCCAACATATTCTCAAAAACCAAAAAGGATGATTTATTCCAATGATATATACACTTTTGTGATGAATTAAGAAGAAAAAATGTTCAAAACTCCAATCGACGTTTTCCAAGGTCAGAATATCTTCTTCTCTTAGACAATGGATCATCAGTTTCCACTTGATTCAAGGAATAACGAGAATCACTGTCTAGGAATAGACGACCACTCTTCACTTTTTCCAAAAACTGGTTAGGAGAACAAGGTAATGGAGGTTTCTTAAAATAAGGATGATTGAGTGCATCTTGAGCAGATATACGTTTCCAAGGGTCAAATAATAAAAACTGATTTAACAAGTCGAGTGCTTCATCTGAAGCAGCTGTAAAGGTTCTAATAGCATAAAGTTGAAAAAATACGTTCTATTCCAAGTCATTATTATACATACTGTCTCATAGGCGGTCTCGGCTTGGGAGTGAATTCCACATAAGCAGGGAGAGCAGCAACACCAGGCCATCTATTATCATATTCATAACTAACTATAGAAAAACATGAATAAGTACATACTCTTCTTCTGTGGGTGTTCCTAATGCACTGTATATTTTGGATAACTGATCAATATCCGAATCTCCCGGAAAATAAGGCTGTCTTAACATCATTTCTGCAAAAATACAGCCCACACTCCACATATCTATGCCAGTTCCATATTGAGTGGCACCAAATAAAAGTTCTGGGGCTCGATACCAGCGAGTAACTACTTGATTGGTATACTTCCTATAGGGACTGGCAAACAATTTGGATAGTCCAAAATCTGTCAATTTCAATACTCCTTGAGTATCCATAAGAATGTTGCTAGGTTTTAAATCTCGATGAAGAACCCTGAAAGAAAATAAGAAAAGGCCAACAGTATCCAAGAAAACTTGCCAATTTTCATGCAGCTTAGCAACGCCACATAGTATCATTTTCAACGCACCTTTTACTTCAGCCGTACTTAGAGCAATCTACTAACGACCATGAGAGGTGAAAACTTTTTGAATCGACTACTTACCGTTTTGTCCTTGATAATTTGTTCCAAATCTGCTATGCAATAATCAAAAACCAAATTGATGTTACTACTTGTACCAAAAACATCGAGTAAATTCTACCCAAAATAATGAAAAAGATGAAAACTTGTGTATATTGTCACTCACAATCAAATTCTCGTGACGAACGTCTTGCAATATTTTTATTTCCCGTAAAGCTGGAATAGCTACACCATCCTTGGAATTGCCCTAAAAGATGTTGAAAAAAGCGAGAAAAAGAAACAAGAGCGCTTACCATTCGAACCTTTTTGATGGCGACATACTGACCTGTTTTGGTATCTTTTGCTTTGTTAACGATACCTTGATAACAGTAAGCCAAAAAACAAAGCAGAAATAACAAAAACAGACCAAAAGTTCCCTCTCCCAATACTTTCTCCTTTTGATATCTTTTTACTCGATGGTTGGCTTCTGACATCGACTAAGATAATATTGAGTGCCACCCACACAAGTCTAAAAATTGAAGAATCGAATTGCGAATAGGATTGGTCTTTGTCATACAAAGAAGAATGGAACCAAAAAGTCACCACCGCTCAAGACACACAAGTCCTCCTCATAGGTCTTCTAGCCCAAGACTTTCACGAAGGAGAAGACACGAAAGTAAAAGTCCTAGTAGGAATAAAGCGTCGGACCACCATAAGAAGAGGAGAACACGTGACTCTGGAGACGGAATTAAAAACCGCAAAGAACAAGGCTTACTGCGTAACGAAAAGGGAGAAATTATAGAAAATCCTGAGGTCAATACAGAGGCTCAAGAAATGCTGGAAAGAATAAGAGAAGAGGAAAGAAAGGCGTTTGCGATTCCTTTCCGACACCAGGAAGATTCAGAATTGAATAGTGAACAAGTGCAAGAGGACCGAAATAACGAAAATGAGAAAAAGTTTGAGGAGCCACTACAACGCAGAAAGGTGATTGGTGAGTGGTCGGAGGAAAGGTTGACTTCAGTTTCAAAGAAAAAACCCGCACACGTAGCACTGAAGGTCAACAAGGTGGAGCCTACAAAATCCCTTTCAAGTAATAACCAAACTAGCAAAGTGCAAACTAAAGATTCGGTTTCTTCTCATAATATAAATGAAGCGTGTATATTTTCGAAGGATATGGAAGCCGAGAATGATGATGAAACTTTGGAAGGAGGTCAAGCTTCACGAAAGTCACTTGAAGAGTTGAGGCAAGAGTTAGTCAATGAAAAAGTAGCATACGAAAGACAGAACGCTGAAAACTCAGAAGAAAATGAAAAAGACGAAGAGCTAGAAGAACAGGAGGAGAATGAGTCCAAAAGAATGACTCAGAGCTCGCAAATCTTAGTTGAGGAAAACTCTGTCGAGACAAACAAGTCCATTTCAATGAACGAGGATGACCCTCTTGATCAATATATGGAAGATATTCAAAAGGAAGTGAATGATGTCTTGATTCATTCCAGGCCAAAAAAGAAGTCATCCTTTAAGAAAAACGGAGTTTTAGAAGATAGCTTTGAGTGGACGGAAGAAAATTCAAACAAGGAAGGAGATGAGAGAATTTCCTCGGATGAAGGAGGAGAGTTGTTATCAGATATGGAAGGAGAAGACGCGGAACTTATTGATGCTGGAGATGTCTCCGATAGAGAATCAGGATATTTATCCCATGTTCGAAGAAAACGAATCGTATATGAGAAAGTTGATCATTCCAAATATAACTATATCCATTTTAAGAAAAATTTCTATATTGAAGCACCAGAGATTGCAAAAATGTCGTGGGAGGATGTCCATGAATATCGCAAGCAATTGGGAGGAATCAGAATAAGAGGAAGAAACTGTCCAAAACCAGTGAAAACTTGGGGCCAGTGCGGTTTGTCTTCAAGTGTTTTGGATACTCTCCGAAAGTTAAGATTTGAGAAGCCCACAGCTATTCAGGCACAGTCGATTCCAGCAATTATGAATGGACGCGATGTCATTGGAATTGCCAAGACAGGCTCTGGAAAAACATTGGCATATGTCCTTCCCATGCTTAGACATATTGCTGCGCAACCACCTTTACAAATAGGAGATGGTCCAATTGGTTTGATAGTGGCTCCAACAAGAGAACTTGCTATCCAAATTTACGGAGAGATTAAACGATTTGCAAAGGCTTTGGATATTAAAGTTGTATGTGCATATGGAGGAAGTGGAATCGGGGACCAAATAGCAAAACTAAAGGTGGGTGCTGAAGTTGTGGTATGTACTCCTGGAAGAATGATCGATCTCTTATCGATGAACGGAGGTCGTGCGACAAACTTGCGTAGAGTTACATATTTAGTTATTGATGAAGCCGATAGAATGTTCGATATGGGTTTTGAACCTCAAGTTACACGCATTGCTGAAAATGTTCGTCCCGATCGCCAAACTGTAATGTTTTCAGCAACATTTCCTCCACAAGTTGAAAACTTGGCTAGAAAGATTCTGTCGCAACCTATAGAAATTGTTGTGGGCGGTAGAAGTGTTGCAGCATCTTCTATTGAACAGTTTGTAGAAGTTAGGAAGGAAGAAACAAAATTCCTTAGATTGTTAGAACTGATTGGAGATTGGTATGATAAGGGCTCCATTCTCGTGTTCGTGGATAGACAAGAAAATGCAGATAGAATATTCAACGATCTGATTCTTGCTGGTTATCGGTGCATGTCACTTCATGGAGGTTTGGATCAGGCTGACAGAGACTCAACCATAGCAGACTTTAAAAATGGTCTTGTTAAAATATTGGTTGCAACATCCGTAGCTGCAAGAGGTTTGGATGTTAAGCATTTGAGACTCGTTATTAATTATGATGTGCCAAACCATTATGAAGACTATGTTCACCGAGTTGGTCGCACTGGAAGAGCGGGAAACCCTGGAACAGCCTATACTTTTATTACACCTGAACAGGAAGTCTTTGCTCCAGACTTGGTTAGAGCAGTAGAGTTGTCAGCAAAAGCAGCAGCACAGGAAGTAATAGGATCATCCAATTCTGATGAAGCAAACGAGTTTATATCTAAATATCTGTCAAAAGCTATTCCTCCAGAACTTCGTCATCTTGTTACCCAGTTCGAACAGAAACGTAAAGTTGGCTTGGCACACTTTGCCGGCAGTGGATATGGTGGAAAGGGATACAAGTTTAATGAAGAGGAAGAAGAATCGACGAAGAAGTTGAGAAAAGCCCAAGCTAGAGAATATGGCCTGGACTTGGGAGATGAAGAAGAAGAGTCAGCAACTGCAACTAGAATGGAAGAAGTTGATGATGAAGTAGTTGTTCGAGAAATTTCCACGGAAACTTCTGAAGATACTGTTAAAGGAACCAGTGATCTGCAGCCAATCACGGACGATGAAGTGCGGATGGCTGTGGCAGAAGCAGGTGCTCTTGCTGAAAAGAATGCTCGTCAACAAGGGCTACCTCCAGAAGAAATAGCCAAACGAGTTGCACAAGCGAAGGCGCAGGCATTATCCAACCAGTCAGCCTTACAACGCACTCGTGCCATGCAGCTCTCTACAAAAGGCATTACTGGTGCAAGTGGAAAACAAAATGTTTCAGAGTCTGCAGAATTGTCAGCTGCCGCACGAGCTGCCGCACTTATCAACGCTAAACTAGGCTTGGTGATGGGAGCTCCTTTGCCTGGCGATGGCTTTATCTCAAACGGAGGACAGGGCGGCTCTGAAAGACGATTCGCTACGGAAGTGGAGATAAATGACTATCCACAGCATGCAAGATGGAAAGTTACACACAAGGATGCATTGTTGGCTGTCGAAGAATGGACTGGCTGCGCCATTACAACAAAGGGTCAGTATTATCCTCCTGGACGTAATCCTCCTCCTGGAGAACGCAAATTGTATCTTCTTATTGAAGGTCCAGACGAACTTTCAGTTAGAAAGGCTAGTAAAGATATTCGAATACAGCTGGAAGAAGCTGCGTCATCAGCTAGACCCGATGACAAACCGTCCTATGGGAAATATTCTGTTTTGTAAGCTATTTCTTTTTGAGATTGAAGCGGATCAAATTGACGTTGAAATTCAATTCATTCGCAAGAATCATTTAAAGTGTAGGAAACGATAGAAATCGTTAGATTGCTTTGAATAGAGTTTTGTCAAGGAGTGATTGTATTCCTATTGTAAAACGAGAGCGATGATTAAAAATAAAACTTTTGCAAATGCCCAATTCAGAACATGAATAATGTAGTTGGCTGTTTTTGAAATACAGGGAAAAAGTTTATCACAAGTTATAATTGGATGACATTTCGAAGGAACTTGGAGGAGGAACGTAAAATGGAGGAAAAACCCAGTAACCATGGCATTGCCACATAGGCGTCATGTATGGAATAATGTATGGGTCTTGAAAGTAAAAGTTGTTCATCATAGATGTGGGACAAGACAATGAAAACATGGTCTCATTGCAATGCATTTCCTCAGTACTCGAAATATCACCAGAGTAAGTCTCTCCATTAAAATGTGCTGAGAGTGATGAAGTGTCCAAGAAGTTACTGCTACCGCCGGTTTCTGGGTAAGTGCTCGGATCTTGCTTATTAATGACATCCAAACTAGACGACAAGTTTGGAGAGAAAGCAGCAGCTTCCAAGATGAGTGGCATGTTGGATAGTTTACTTCCATCGCATGGGATAACCTTGCCTTCTTGAAGTGCTTTTGCTCTTTCCTAGACACAAATGTCAACATGTTTCCTCATCATCGCACCTTTTCTTACATTGCATGGTTCATTCTTCATAGAACGAGTCTGTTCAATGTAAAACGTGACATTCTTTCCTTCTTTCTGATGCCTACGTAATAGCTCTTGTAAAAGGGAGTTATCTCTCAATGGGCGAATATACAACATGCCATTGGAGCCCTGAGGTTCGACAGTAGAATATCCAAAACGACAGAAACGTTGAAGATACGCATAATACGGATGGCATGCTAGTTCAGTGCTCAACAGTGCTCTTGAATGGAGTCAATGTAGAGAGTAACATCTTGTAGAAAACTACTTACCGTCTAAAGTCATCTATGGTTGGATTCTCAGGCAAGCTAAGAGAACGCAAAGTGAGAGGGAACATTTCTCCACTCCTTAACTGCAAGACCATAGAGAGAGACTTGTAATGAATCATTTATCTTATGAAATCTGAAGAAATTGTGAGAAGTGTTTATAGAGTTTGTCAAAATGGATTTATTTATCATGAGCTTTTTGGCGCCATTTCGAATCGTGCCGCCCATAGCATTTTTTTCTTCGAGATAGAAACTTCAGGATTGCATCGCAAGGTTTCTTCGAATCATTTAACAAAGTGACTTAACCCTTGAAAGACTTTATATACATTCTCCAAATAAGTGAGATCCACTTTACAGCAACTTCGCTACAGTTCCAAAAGACACCAACATTTTAGACATCAATTTTTCTGTCTCACTTTTAGAACAAGGTTATATCCAGATGGCGGATCTTCTTTGACAGGTTGTTTCGAAACAAGTTGCCATCTCCTGTAGTCATTGAAAACTTTCTCCAACGACTGCCTCTTGCAATCCTTCGTCTTGTTGTTTGGTCCATGTTGTAAGAACAAAAGATAGAAAAGTTTCTCAAGAAGAATGCTCACTATGAAAATGAGCAAGTGCTTTTGCATATTATCTTTGTGAAAAGAACTTCTCAGCAGGTTGTAGATTTTTTTTCTGTGCAAAAAAAGGAACTTTATATAATCACACAAGAGTGATTTGATAGAGTTTTGCCATTCAAAAAAAGACGAACTTGGTGCGCTAGAGTTGTTCTCTAGCGTAAGAACAATGTCTTTTGCAAAAAGCTCTATTCTGAAACAAGAGTTGTGTTTGCTTTCTATATATTTTGTAGATTTTGACATAAACTAAGAGACAACATGAAAAAATTGAGAGCAAGTCATATGCAACTGGATGTATTCATTCGAGCCTTTTTTACAAATATCTTTACAAGTAAACCCTAATAAAAACAGTCATTGCTGCCCAGCAGATAGAAATTTACTATTGGCTATTTTTTTAAGGAGATTGTAGAGAATGGAAAATGGAGCTTATCTCCTCTGCTTCAACTTGTTTGGATACAAAAGTTATTGTTTTAGCTCAAATAGATTACATAGGCATAATTTTAAGGATTGTCTATTGATTCCAAGGTTCTACGGTTACCTCGAAAGACGGCATGTTACAGGCTTGCCTTTGGTAGACTCGTCATATTTAAAACTTAAAGATTCTTCTAGCTGTTCCACACATATGATTTGGTTGAAGTATGAACCACATAATACTGCAAATTTCCGAAGAGCTTACCAAAAACTCACTCCAATTTTGCAAATGTTGAAGTGGCCCTCTCTTACTGGAGGAGCACTGGTTCGAAGCTCCCAGTCATCTGTCAGTTTAATCTCGCTTGAAGATATCAAGCTACTTTTGGAGCAGTTACAGGCTCAATTCAAACTTTTTTTGTTGAAACTTTGGTCTCTAGAATATCAATGCAGAGAGCAACTGAAATGGAGCATAAGAGTATCCGAGTGGAAAGTCAAAGTTCCGTCACATTTTCAACATATACATGGTTTCTTTGAACAATTAAGTCCTATTTGGCTGTATAGAGCTTTACCTAGAGTGACTACAAGAGATAAAAAGAGTATTTCTATCTCAGCAGACCCAACTCTATCTTGCCGTTCGTCTTTGAAGTCACTTAGAAAACAAGCTGTTGATGACGATAGCGCAGTATCTTCGACTATATTTATTGCTTCGAGAAGATTACCAACGACGTATACTACAAAGCTAACATTCAAACCTTTCTGGTTTGAAAAGATACAAGATGATATTCGTCGCAGTCTTTTAAGCAATTCTGTGACGAAAAGTTTGACAGAAATTTGGAAAGAACCAGCTTTTAAGGTCCATTCTCTTTTACATTGGCAAATGGAAGCTTTTGCTGAGCAAGATTTGCTTCGACATCGTATACATTTAAAATGGAAATATTATCCCGAGAGACTTCGCAAACGTCGAGTAATTAGAGGAACTCATTTGTCCATTTCTAGATGGAACAAAGTTGCTTTGACATTGTCAGTTGTAATTCTTCGCAGTGCCACGGATACTCTATGGTTTATTATTCGACCTATTTTCATTGAAGGTTATCATATTCTACATGGTTCCATCCAAAAAGCAATAGAATTGCTGTGGACGGACAAAAGTGGCGACATTCAGTCTCCATCGAGCAAAGGATTATTGCAAGTTACTGTAGCCAAAAATTTTCGTGACAGAACACATTTAGAGAACTCAATGAGCATTATTCTTTCTAATTTCACAACTTTTTGGAAATTTGAAAGAGCTCTCTCTAAAATATCTAGAAAGGCAATTCTTTGGGGTGTTGTTGAGGAAGGATCTTCGACAAAGGTTGATGGCATTGGTAGACAAAGTAATGTGGATAGGAATGAACTTTTTACCACACGAAGTAGTTACTATGATGAAGAGACGAATCATTCTTCTGGATTCTTTCCGATTGGCATTTTAGAGTTGACAGGAGTTGGATTTATCTTGTTTCTGTTTAGACTTTTTCCGTTCTTGTCAGAGTCTCTTGTAGATATTTGTACCTTTTTATTTCAGCTCTTTGCTATATATTTGTTTGGCACATTTACATTGGCGACATGGCGAATCGTAACGGAGTCGGTTCACTTTTGTCGCGTGTATGAAACTTTACAGGGACATTTTTCTATTTTATTGCGTCACTCAATGATAACAAAGATGAATGGAAATGAAACTATTGACATTATTGCTTGGGAGGTTAATGATAAGGATGAATTGGAAAAATACAGTTTATGTAAGTATGTTGAGGAATTATGGGAAGAAGGCATTTGTCGTGCAGAAATGATATTGCGAAGAATTCCCTCAGTTTTGGTGGAGTCTTCACCAATGGGTTGGCAACTGTTGTCTCTTTTTGAACGAGAGGAATGTGAGATTGAACGAATAGCGTAGTTTGAGATTTTCCGTTTTCCTATAAATATCAAATGTAGAAACACAACATTTCAATTTCGGTTCTCACATCGAGTCCGTAATGAACCTTGATATTCTTGCAATACCGTGAAGTGCTGAATATGATTGAAACCAGTTCATTGACTTTTAATCACTATCTCGACTCTGAATATAATTGGTATTGCAACCGAGTTCAAGTCTTTACTCATTTATTGAATGGTTTCTAATAACAAACTACGATTGGAATAGCAGCTTTCTTTGATACAACGAGGAAAGCATTATGAACAGCTGCCAGTGTCAAATGCCTTAAGACTTCAAGAAGTGGGCTTTGTCTAAGATTTGTCTTATTGGACAATTTGTGTTGGGAAGGAAAGCCACACACACACACATATATATATATATATGGCTACTTGGCAACATAGCTCGGAGATGTTGAAACGTTTGACTGAACGGATTCAAAGTAAAAGCAGTCTTTCTTGTCACTTGCGTAGTTTAGCTCAGTTCGGTCAACTTTGCTTAAGACGATTTAGTTGGAGCCAACACTGTACTTCTCAGAAGATTTGTCAGTCGGGTTTTCTTCACGATTCCCATAGTTTACTTTTGAGAAGATACAGTGCAAGTGGCTCTGAATATTATTTTCCTGGAGCCGTGGGTGCTCCCTATACCGACAAACTAGAGTTGATTGCTGGAGAAAAGGAAGGAAGAGTGCCGTGCTTCCGTATTATGAACGAATATGGAGAAATCAGTTCAAACATTGCGAAAGAATATCATCCTGATCATCAGATGGAACCTTCAGTGATGACGAGTATGTATCAACACATGTTGAAGTTGCACGTGATGGATACAATGTTATACAGTGCACAGAGACAAGGGAGAATCAGTTTCTATATGACAAGCTTTGGAGAGGAAGCAACTGCAATTGGCTCAGCAGCAGCACTAGAAACAGCGGATGTGATATTTGGTCAATATCGAGAACAAGGAGTTTTACTGTGGAGAGGGTTTACATATCGAGACTTTTGTAATCAGTGTTGTGGTAATGCTTTAGAGCCAGCGAAAGGAAGACAAATGCCGGTGCATTATGGTTCGAAAGAACTCAATTTTGTGACTATTTCTTCTCCGCTCGCAACTCAGATACCACAAGCGAGTGGTTATGCTTATGGAATGAAGTTGAGTAATTCAAAAAATATTACTGTTTGTTATTTTGGAGAAGGAGCTGCATCTGAAGGAGACTTCCATGCGGTAAGAATGCATCATTGCTATTCTCTGACTTGTTTTTATACTCGTGTCTATCTAGGCACTCAATTTTGCTGCAACTTTGGAGTGTCCAGTATTGTTTATATGTAGAAATAACGGATATGCCATTTCTACTCCTGCAAAAGAACAGTACAGAGGCGATGGAATAGCAGGACGAGGTCTTGCTTATGGGATTGACAGTATGAGAGTGGATGGAAATGATCTTTGGGCAGTTTATTTTGCGGTAAAGGAAGGAAAGCGACGAATTCTCCAGACAAGCCGACCTCTTTTATTAGAGCTTCTTACTTATCGAGGTGGTCATCATAGTACAAGTGATGATTCCTCTCGCTATCGACAGAAGAATGAGATTGAGTTGTATTCAGAACGTTTGAGTCCTTTGCGTCGAATGAAGCGTTTCTTAGCGTTTAGGAATTGTTGGAATGACGAAATGGATGAAAAGTATATTGAAGAGCAAAGAAAGGAACTACTTACTGCCCTGGAAGAAGCAGAAAAAGCTCCCAAGGCTCCTTTGGAGGATCTATTTCATGATGTTTATGATCAGTTAACTCCCAATTTGGAACGACAAAAGACTATGTTATTTGAATTTTTAGAAAGGGAGAAACATCCTACGCACTTTTCCTAGTTGGTGATAAATAGAGAATTAAGGATAGTTAGATAAACGAAATTATACTCATTTCAAACTCGTTGAGAGTCTCTTCAGTAAAAAGTAGAATGGTTGGTCTCTATTTTGATAAAAGAATGAAGCAGTAGGCACTTTCTCATCTATATATTGCCCCAACTACATAAATAGTCGAATGATTTCATACCAACTGATCCGTCTAACTGTTGTTAAAAGATGAGTCTATGATAAGATGGAGACTTCAGATACGGTTCCATTTCAAAGAAGCCTTATTGGAGATCCTAATCTAATCATCTTTTACGGGAATTATTGGGTTGGCGACGATGACGGTGGACGTGTCGGATCACCAGTTGGAACAAGATATTATGAACAACTTATCGAAACTACGAGAGACTTGGATGGATTGGAATGATTATCAAAAGAGAACAAATTGTAAAGTGGTTTCTTCAGAGCAAGTTAGAGATACAAGTTTGGCTTTGAATATCCAACAGAGCGTAGCAAATGATTCTAGTCCCAAACATTTCGTTTCTTCGGTCAAATCTTGTAAAATGGAAAAAAAGATTATCAAAAGACGAAAAATAGTGACAAGTGAACACCCAAAAACTTTGTCCAAGTCTGAAAAGGAAGATGCGAAAGAGTTGGACATGTTCTGCTTTGTTCGACAACATAGAGACGAAGTCAAACGGTTTGTATTGCAAAACGAAAAGAGCCAATCCAACCTTTGGAAACAATCTTTGATGGAACTTGGTAAGGAAAAGCGTTTTTGTAGTTTTGTATACTCTAAACCTTCCGAATGAAGGTGTTCAAGCAAAGAGAAAGTCGAAAGTTCCTTTTCCAATATTTCTTGGAATGCAACGAAAGCAAAAGAAGAGAAGAGCTCGTTTGTTGTCCAAAAATGGTTCAACTGCTAGAAAGTAATACTTTCTATTCGGATGACGTGTGATATTTGGTATAGAACGGTTGGATAGAGTTGGTTACTAAGATGGTTTTATTGTTGTATTTTATCTCACGGACAATAGAAAATGCATCGACAATATTTTCAATGAATTGTACATTCGGATCATTTAAGATTCCAAAAAGTTTTGTTTCCAACACTCTTCAAGATTTTCAGAATGTATCATCTTTTGTTTCTATTTCAGTGCCTAATCGTTTATCTCACAAAATACTTTCGTTTTTACAAAGAGATACACAACACAACGTTTGATCGTCAATGGGTTTATCTATTCCATAAAACACATATTTGTTTCGATATTTCAAAAGACTTCATTTACATTGCTTCAATAAGGATAGAGCATCTTCGAGTTCCTTGATTGCTGAATTCACATCTTGAAAATCCAACGCACTTGATGCATTCTTTGCATGTTTTTGTGCTTCCAAAATAGATTGTACTAGATCATATTTGTTTTTGGTGTTGGTCGATGCAGTTGTATGAGTCTCAGTCAAGTGATTATCAACAACGTCCTCTGAAATGCGTTCAGTGTCATTTGCCGTTGGGTTTAAATTATTCCTTTCTACAACATCGACTTTGCTTTCATCAGAATTTTCTTCCACTTGGTTGGTTGAGTCTTCACTGGTATTCCTTTCCATAAGAGAATCATCCAACTCTTTGATATTTGTTTCTGGACTATTTGACTCGCCAGGTTCTTGCATGATCAAAGATAAATCATGTCTTGTAGTATCCTCATATTTACTCTCAGTTTGACTATCGGGAGGACCAGGAACTGGTTGAATTCCTTCTCTCAAACACTTTGATATATAAGCCACCTTGAATTTGCAATATTTCATTTTCTGTCTGATATCTTCTGAAGGTTCTCCTAACGAATTCAAAACTTCCAAAAAGCACAAAGCAGCATAAAAAGTACGAACAGTAGTTCGAGTGGCATTTCCATTTCTATCTTCTGTATCTGCTCTTAAGAAAACCTTCAAAGCAAATTCTTCCAAGTGTTCTTTCAACAGAGTCGTATCTCCGAGTTTTGCCTTGTCTTGTTCACACTAACAAAACATAAGTGATCTCAAGGCACTTCCCAATGGGCTTTCATACCTTCTCAATGAGACTCTTCATAAATTTTGAGGCATCGGGGTCCTTCTTATCCCGAAGTTTTAAACCAAACTCACACGCGTAGAATCTACCTATGTCCCCCATAAGCGTCAACTGATAGAATTCCAAGAATAAACATACAAGCATAAGCTACTAGAGGGTCTATTTGTTCAACTTCCTATAAAACAACACAAGTTATTTCTAAAGAATCCTTATCAACACGATTACTTACTTTTGCTCGAACCAAATATTTAGCAAGGGGTTTCAATGAAGTAGGCCATGAAGCGGACATTACGTATTTCCTAAAAATGAGGAATTAAAAGAGTTCTTAAAGGAAGATCAATAGGAAATATTTCAATAATGTTCAGCATATTACTGTGATAAGTTGTTCATATCCATCATTTATAACATATACATACATATATATATATATATTTCTATAGATAGATACAAATATGTGGCTCAAAGAACCCTTCCATTGGCAACTTGGTTGGTTACTACCCCTTGACTGTTTTCGACTACACCGAGTGAACATGAGAGGGATAAAGAAAAGTAGTTATATTTGTTGTGCCTCGTACCATTCAAAATTGTCGCTCTGTCAACAAAAGGATTTTCTAGACGCTGTATGGTCCAGTCATGTTCAACCTGGCGACTCTTGTATCGATGCAACGTGTGGAAAAGGTAGAGACTCATTACGTATTGCAAAGTTGGTTGGCCCTAAGGGTTTTCTTCTTGCTTGTGATATACAAACTTATGCCATATATCAAACAGAAGCGCTATTGCGGTCAGAGATCGATCCTTCACAGTACCCACGCGTAGAGTTTGTTTGTAATAGTCACGAGTTTCTTTCAAAATATGTAAAGGATAATAGTATTCGTTTAATAAGCTATAATTTGGGTTATCTACCGAATGGAGACAGACAAATAAGAACAACAGCAAGAACAACTACAAATAGCTTGGAGAGTTTACTTCCAAAGTTGTGTCACTCGGGTATCATTTCCTTGGTTTGTTATGTTGGCCATCCTGGAGGTTTAGAGGAACGAAGTGAGGTATTGAACTATGTTGCCAAGTTACCAAAGGATACTTGGAGTGTAACTTACCATGAATGGTATCTTTCGATTCCTTTCAATCTATATTCGAGAATTGATTATATGAGTCATTCTTTATAGGATCAATCGTTCTTTAGCTCCCAGTATTGTTATTGTCGAGAAGAAGTAGCGGGTTCTAACAATATTCTGAGACATGGATATGTGCAAGTATCCTTATATTCTTTTTTGGTTTGTCTTGCTATCAAGAAACTGTGTGGTATGCTTGGAAATAAACAAACAGCAAGTTTTCTGAAAGGGAACCAACTAGTTTGCTTGGGAAACCTGTTGTACTCTTTGTAATAATGAGCTGGTTTGTAACGGACAAGTTTGTGGAGGTTTGTTTCAGGTAATAACTTGTGTTATGAGGACGTTCGAAAGTGTTTGTTTGACTCACAACAGGCCTGCGGTGCAGTCTATCCTGGGAGTCCCAATAATAACTGTGACTTCAACTGGAGTTGTGAAACGAGTACTTGGAGAATAGTTGTCTTTGTGTATGTTATCTCATTTTGCAGTTTCTAAAGGCTAATAAGTTGTTAGAGTGTGTATAATCGTCGGTATTGGAGGTTTTCTTATTTGCATTTACATCGGATTTCGTTGGCTATCTTATCATAAGTTTTCCAGAGGTACTAGACCAGCGAATCCCTACCAAATACCAGTTCAGCGGCCTGCTGTTGCACAAGGCATCCCAACTTCATCTTGGAATTATCCAACTCGTTCTTATTTAAATTCAACGAATACTTTACCAGGCACCACTTACTATGAGCCTTCTGCTCCACCGCCTTCTTGATATTACAACCTTATGTGGGTTTCTTTCCACATGAAATATTTGTATCCCGTTCATGCGTCTTTTGTGTCATCATACAACCTTACAACTATCGATAACATACTCTACAAATATTTTATAAACTACAACTTTTTATATTCCACAACCGGTGAACAACGAGGAAAAAGCAAATGTTTCGTGAATTCTGAGGCAAATGTTTCATCAGAAAATTCCGCCACTCGTGTTCTCATATTGCACTAGAATTCAACACGAAATAAAGATTCAAAGATACAAATAGAAGTAAAGACAATAGCCAACTTACTTGTATGGAATGCAATTGCTCCTCTGATAGTTGAAATAACAATCTTTCAAGAATAGCAACATATTCTTCAAGATTGCTAGCCAAATATCCATTTCTTGTATTTCTCAGAGATAAAGCATGAGAAATTGCATACTTACTGTTCATGTGTAATAATGTCCTTTGCTACGCCACCTGAACGATGAGCAATAGGAATCACTCCCGCCGCCATAAATTCTACTACGCTGATACCTAACGAGACTCTTTCATTATCCAAAAATAACAAAATGGATTAATAAGTACCAAAATGTTCATCTCGCATTGTATGCAATGCAATAGCAGCTTTCGATAAATAATTGTAAATTTGTTCATGACTAGCGTTGATGACCCATCGAACATACGACGCAATATCTATCCACACTCAACAAATAACAAAGGTTATCTGCAACAAACAATGCTTCCTTACTCAAGTCACCAGCTAGCTTTTGAAGTTGGGAAACTCTTTCAACATCTTGTTCATTACGAGTACTTCCCATCATTACCAAACAAAAATCTAAGCATTTGGCCAAAATAATAGGCTGCCGTGATAAGACTAAAGAAGTATCAAACCTTGTAGATCTTTCTCTTCATGTTGCTGGACAAGTTTCTGAATAATAAATAGTTGCAATATATGGTTCTTCTCTTCTCGAAATTGGGAAAGAGACACTATCCAATGTCTCTTTCGACCTGATAAACAAAAGTCAAGTAACGTCTAGGACAAAGTGATTAGAGAAACAATCAAAAAAGGAGAGTTGACCGCGATACTTTGACCGAACAAGGTGGATAAACGATTTGCAAATATTCGGGTTTCCACATCACAGAAATGTGCTGTTTTGTCCAAGAAGAATTGACCTAAAAAAGGTAATTCACATTTGTCAAAGCCGCTTCAATTACGAAATTGACAAACCATAACTACGTCGGCACATTTGCCAGTTAGGAAATACAAAAACATAAGTACCTACAAAAAGTCAAACATTACAAGTCAAACCAGTTGACAAACTTACTCGATAGTAAAATAGTTTGCATTGAGTGGCAAGATAAGATTTTGCAATAAAAGTGCGATTATTGTATTTGACTTGTCTCTGTCTAACAACCTAAAGCGATGGAACAATTTCTGAAAAAGAAAAAAATAGATTCTTACTTGCAACATGTCCTTTGAAACAGTTGGGTAATGCACATAACAAACAACGTAACAACCAAAACAAAATCGAGCGATAGACATGGAAGCAGGAAAACCTGTAGTGTCTACAAAACAATTTGGAGTATATCGTAATAAGGCCTATTACAAGATGTTATAGCCATTCGAAAAGCTTAACTCCATTCTCACTTCTATAGCTACAAACATAGATCCAATTGCCTGACCAAGCAACGTAAACCAAGGATACTCCTTTGGCTCTATGAATCGACAATAAGCTGTTCAAACAACTTCAAGAAAATTAACTAACCCAAAAGAAATGAAGACTCCAAAAATACGAGAGAAAACTTTGGAAGAACACGAATTCCAAACTGTCTGTAAACTTTCTCTGTCAGTGCCTGGAAAAGATAATTGTTCAATCGACATCAACTGCTAACACAACAGCGCCTACATCTACAGTTGTTTCTTCAGATGTGTAGATAATAATCTTACAAGAAGGAAAATTTTCCAAAAGATGGCATACTTCCAACCTTGCGTTGAAGCAGCGTTGGTAAGTGTCGATTGAGGAGGGCGCCAATACCTACCACAATACTCGTTCTCCCCCGCCTCCTGCAGAACAGTAAGGATGAAAGAAACCAAAGGTCAGAATTGATTGGTCTTTCTGAAAATTGTCAACTCTACTCTTATTTTTGTTTAATTTTTGTTTTATGTAAAGAGTATAACTCAATATGCAGATCGTCCATAAGCAACACCATATGACAATCCATTCAACCATTTTATCTTTGAGGACTTTGTGAATTCTCGACTATCATGTTGGCAATGTTGACTTTTGTCTCTCCTGTTTTTGGAGCACCTAAAAAGAGAAAATGGTTTTCCAAGTTATCTGGAAAACAACTCTGCTGTTTTCGTTGTGTTTCGTGCTTGCAAGTAGAGCAACCTAGTCGTAGTCATCCCAACTATTGGAGAAACATAGCCAGAGAGGTAAACAAGACACTGAAAGAACACTCATTAGAAGCGAACAACCCGATCAACGTAACGGATGAAGATAGTTCGGTGTTTGTTGTAAGTATATATATATATAATATTTATTTATTAAATGAGTGTGTTCTTCTGAATCTTCTCTTTGTAGGATACCACTACAGATGAAAGAGAAGAGGGTGGTCCAACTTTCATTCAACAGAGTTCTCGAGTGCAGTTGGACTCCGCTGAGATAAGCCATTCCAATTCTATGACAACAGATAGTCATTCACTTTATCAAAATAACTCTCCAAACTCGACAGGAATGGAAGAAGAACCTTCTGACTATTCAGTCCAGTTTTCAACTTCTTGGAATCCTAACACAAGCTGGCTTCAATTTCCAGATTTGGTTGAATCAGCTGATATAAGGAGGAAAACTCAAGAGATATCCAAACATCAAAAAGAAGATGTGTTCAAGTACTATATTGATAGTGAAAACAACTTGCGTCCTTTTCACGATGCTATTTCTCCTATGCACATTTTCTCAAAAGGTAACGCAACCTGGAAATACTGTTATTGAGTTCTTATTTGTCCTTTCTTATAGAGTCTGAAACTCAAACTGTTTCTGAGCCTTCAGCCTGGGAAAATTGGCATCAATTATCTCAGAAAGGTAACGAAGATTCCTCAAGTCTAGATGAGTCTCTTGACGATGAATGGAGTGAAATTGACCGTTGGAGACCGGTTGCTGTTGAATTAGAAGGTTATAATCCCAAGTTGACGGAAGACACATCGGAAGAAGTTCGTATCGAGAAAAACAAACTTTCGAAGAGAAGAGAAGCAGTGGCATGGCAAAAATGGTTCTCTACTCAGCAATACAACTTGTCTTCTGAGTTATGGGAGCGACGTATCGGTGTCACTGGCAAGGACTGTGACAAGTAAGTCTATTGCCAATAAAGGAGAGATTACTCATTGTGTTTGTAGGAATACATCAATTTATAAACAATGGCTAGCTGATATGGAACAAGGTTTGGAACCTTAGTAAAAGCAATATTATATTTGAAATAAAGACGACACATTGTGTTGTAATTGAACATTGCATTTTCATTTAAAGACAGTTTTAATTCTGATGAGTCTTTTGAATAGCACCATCTAATCACCGACTCGAAAAGAGAAATGTTCAAAAAGAAAATATTGCCTTCGTTAATATTGTGTCTTTAATGGAGCGACAAAGTATCTCTTCTATAAAAAGGACAAATGAATCATTCGAGTCATTTGCAAGGTGGTCTTAGATCCAAGTTCAAAAACAGTTCCATAGTTATTTCAAAGAGAATCTATTTCAATCAATATCCAACTGCTGTTTCAAAGCAGATTTCAAATGAGTAAGATTGGCTTGAGTATCCTTTAAGCAGTCCAAGTGGGATTATAATACCCGCGTGTCACGAACGAATGCCAGATTTAAGATTGCAGATCGATTTGGGCTTCACCGTCCACCACAACAACGCGGTGCAGGCGATGTACATTGTTAGTAACTCATTTCCGATAAAAACCAAACGACTGGGTTTAGAGCCTCGAGGCAAATCGATACAACAACAACGTAACCTTGAGAAATATCGAAATATGAGAACACCTTTTTTACGCTCTCAAAATCTTGAGCAAACTCCTTCGTGTAGACACCGCGATCTCACTTTCAAAATGCAACTTTCTGCGGAAGAGTTATCAAAAAATCACTCAGGTTGGTTTGAGACTTCCCTTGTATACCACTTTAAGTATATTCTGATTTCTAGGAGTAACTACAGTGTTTGGTCCTACAGAAATATTGAAGATACTTCCCCATCGGTACTTGCCCTTGTGTTCTTTTTAGCGACTGAGTGATATATATTTGCTGAATAGATTCCCATTCTTGTTGGTCGATCGTGTGATAGAGTTTGAAGCTGGCAAAAGAGCAGTAGGTCTGAAGAACGTAAGCTAGAGGATTGCTTTTGTAACCTTTTCTTATTCGACAGAAATGATTATAAACTAGGTTACTTTTAACGAACCTCAGTTTATCGGTCATTTTCCTGAAAAACCTATTTTTCCTGGAGTTTATATGCTCGAGGCTTTGGCACAGGTATGAAATTGAAAATTGACAAGGTAATAGTAATATTGAAAACCTGCCGTGGACAATTGTAGTTGGGTGGCATAGTGATGCTTCAACCGCCTATATCCGATAGTTATCGTGACTTCTATTTTGCAGGTCCGCGTATCTTTTAGATATATTATCGTTGATGTTCATCGGGTTTAGGTGTTACTCAGGTTCGTTTTCGGAAGCCGGTCGTTCCTGGTGATACTTTAGTGATGCAAATGGAAGTACTTTCTGTTCGACAACAGTTGGGAATTGGCAAAATGAGTGGCAAGTGAGTAAAGTGTTGAACTATCTATTTATTTCAGTCATGTGTCATTCAGAGCATATGTGGATGGAAAATTGGCTGTAGAGGGAGAATTTACCTTTTCAGTACAGTCTTGAAAGATCCTTTGGAGAACACAGGATCATCCAGATAGAAGTGAAGAAAAATATTTTACAAGAAAAATAAAAAAAATTTGTTATTTCGAAAATGAATAGTTTGATACTATGAGAGAACCTTTTTCATATTCGATATTTCCTATAGCAATGACAAGTAAACCAATTATTACAAAATTTCTTCAAGCATGGAATATGCATTTGTTATGACTTAGCTACAAATAGAGTTCATGATATATTTGAAATATATAAAATCTCTGTGTCCTAGAGACTCTTCCTGCTCAAACTGGATTTCATTCTATCCATCTCTCTGTCATTTGGAGACGAAAAGTGCAAATGTTGCTGTATAAAGACGAAATTTCAAAATTTGATACGAGTCAATTGCCTTAATAGAAAAAATGAAAAAAAGAGACTAAACTGTTCATCTCTTCTTTATTTCGTATTGGAAGTAAGCTCTTTTAATACGGAACGCAACTGATACTGTTCTTTAGATATCTTTCTTACTTCCTAAATACTCCACTAAGCTTTTAAACGATTCTAAAATAGAAAATAACCTACTTTTAGGAACTGCTCAAGAGAGATGACTTCTTCTTGTAGAGCTTCATCTAATAAACATAAGGCATCTTGATAAGCAGCATTCATTGCTCGCATTTTTTCAATCTATTCAATGTAAGAGCATCAATACAACGACATGAAACGTTGTTATCTTACCTTATTCAGAATCTTAGTTGGAAAAATGACAAAGGAATCCAAATTCATTTCAGTTAGTCTCGGCTAGAAAAAATGTTCTAAAACGAAACATTCTTAGAAAAAGCAGAAAATACCTTCTCCTTTTCAAGCCATTGGCTCAAGTCATCATAGACTGTTTGGACTTGTTCATATTCCATTTCTGTCTCCTCTTGTTCCTGTGTGGCCGAAGTCATTTCTAATAGTGATAGATGAAATTGTTCATTTTTGTTCAAATTTCCATACCTGCATCGATGGACTCACTGGCAGCAAGGCATTGATTTCTTTGCTCCAAAAGATGTGCAATTTCTGTTCTGGACTGCTGTACATAAGTTGCCAAAAAGACTCTTATCCTTTCGCTGGCTTTTTCTACCAATTCTCTACGGAGTAGAAAGATAAAATTTCTTCTTTGTTCATCTAGAGTAAACATACCTTCTCTTCAATTCTTCAGGAGTCAGCGTCATCGAATTTGTGTTCCAAGGGGAAGTTGGATAGTGTTGATACGAAGCATGAAGATTCGGAGCTGCCAATTGAGCAGGTATATTACTCGCGACGGGGCCTGCGTATTTACTTCTAACCATACTCTTCAATGATGATTTCTTTTGACTACGAGAAGCAGCAACTTGGAAATTTTGTTCATTATCATCTCCCACGTCACTTTTGATATGGCTAACGCTTTGATTGATTGGACTAACTTTAGGCATCTGTTCAGCACGCTTTGCAAAAACTGGAGGTTCCTGACTAAAGATAACTTCCAAAACTTGAATTATTGTTGAAAGTCCATACATCTGAGGATTCCATCGATTCAAGACTTCATGATGTACCTAAGATACACGAGCATATTAGCAAAGGAATAGTGGAAATCTTATGCTCAGCATACAACGCCCTGTGGGTCCATGTATTTATGACCTTGCTTTAGTATCATAGAACTTGTTGGAACAACGTGTACTTGAGGTGGATACCGAGGATACCCTGCAGGAATCCATATAGAAACTGGAATATTGTACGGCCTTTCTTTGTAGACGATGATAACCACGCCTTCCAAACAACTAACATACTTTGAGTCCTTTCTTCAAACTAAAGCTATTTGCTTACCACATCTTGTGCTTGAATATAGGGTGAAAACCAATAGTAAATCCTAGCTTCTTTCCTTTCTGTTTGATTTCAGTCAGTTCCGCTTGCAATCTTTGAATAGCAAAGTTATCATATCCATTTTGTGCCTAGTGTTACCTAAATTTTACTTATGCCTCACTTCTACTTTCGTACTCACCAGTCCCTGAAAGAAACCTAAATTATCCATCATTTCTTAGCAAACTTTTCTCATAAGTATTTATGTCGAATGTTCACAAAACTCTTCACAATTCCTCAAGTTAATGGACACCACATTGTAGAAAATTGACTTGAGCCAAATGATCAAATCAAACCCTCATGTAGTATCCGCATGGCATTAAAAGGAACTTCCCAGTAGTTCTTTGGGATAATTGGAATATGGAGGACTTAGTGTTCGCATGCGCTTACATTAAGACAAACTATTTTTCTGAGTGCTTCATCATAGAAAAATAAATTCATAAAAACATATATTGAATATTGTCGGTCTGCTTAACGAGGCTTTTTCAGTTGTTAGTAGTATAGAGAGATTTTGAATCCTTCTCGAAGAAAACGTTGCATTTCAAAGAGACCAAAATTCCAGTCCTTTTAGTTTATTAAAATAATTTTGCAACCTTTGCAGAGTCAAGTTGACAAGAAAACTGAAATTATACAAGGTTAGAAAGTTGTAAGAAAGAGATTCAAATCATCCGGTTATTCTCTTATCTATCTCTTATATCAACACAGAGAATTTACAAGGATATAACCAACATAATTAAGATTTGACTTGGATAACAAATACATACTCTACTTTAGAGGAGTATCACCCCTTATTGCCTCAGCAACAAAGTGAGAATTACTACCAAACTTCAGAGAAGAACACTTATTTTCCCATTTGATAATTTTACTAGCTTGTAGGTGCCTCGTTATCTTAGACAAACTGAGTTTCAGTATAAAAAACAAGTATAGTTTAATCTGAATATTTGAGCCACTAACTTTACATTGTTCTACTCTCTAAACTCCGACTGTACAACAAGTGGGAAGCTGCAGACTCACATTAAGACAATTGATCGATCGATTTGGATCGCCAACAGATGAAGCATGGCTTTATAGAGAATTTACACCCCGTAGTTCTCCTAGCACTAGCGGCAGTTAGTCTTTTCCTAGCGGCAGTTTCTTCAGTTAGTGATTCATTTTGGTTGCACTTAATGTTGTTTCATTCTTTCAATTAGGGTCTTACCCAGGGAATTTTTACTTTGAGTACTTTGGAGTTGGAGGTATTAGCGGCAAGTTCTTCAGGAGAAGAGTCTGACTATGCCCGAAAAATTTTGCCTCTTAGAAAAAAGTCTAATCTTGTAAGATATGATTTTCCTTTACTTTTCGTCCTCACGTAGCTGAAAGGTTTTGACTACGCTTCTGGTGACGTCAACTGTTGCGCAAGAATTGCTACCGCTGACAATATATCCTTTGATTCCTCATGGTATATATCCTCTTGTTATTTCAGTTGGCGGTATGTTCCTTTTTGGCAATATCATTCCAGAAGCTCTTTGTCTTCGTCATGGTTTGAAAATCGCCTCGTACTTTTCCTCCTTTGTAAAGGCTTTGGTGTTCATTTGTTTTCCTATATCATTTCCACTGTCAAAGGCCATGGATGCAGTTATAGGCCGTGACTATTTGAGAGTTTTGAATCGTAGGGAGTTGAAAACTCTTTTTGATTTATATGAAAGATATAAATATAACGTGTTGACTTCTGATGAGTATCACATAGTGGAGAGTGCCTTGGCGCTGAAAGACAAGAAGGTTATTGGGTCACTTCAACGTCAGTTCAACTGTTTATTATGTTTTAGGTGAAAGACATAATGACTCCTGCAGAGCATGTATTCATGTTGGATGTTGATCAAAAGTTGGATAGAAAACTTACTCGAGAGATAGCAAAGAATGGACATTCAAGGATACCACTTTATGATGGGAATAGAAACAATGTCGTTGCTTTGCTATTGGTAAAAGGTTTGTCTCTAAAGTGATCAGTAATGTATTTTCTAACAGAGGAACAAGGTCTCATATCTTATAACCCTAGTGAGAAACTTCCTATTCGAGTTTTTGTTTCCAAACATGCAGAAGATCAACTTGCTGTTACTGCTCCTTTATATGTTTCGGATCAAACCAACGTGGAAACTCTGCTGGGTGAATTTCAAAGGGGTCATAGTCATATGGCCATTGTTTACGATAAACCACACGATCGCCATCGGTTGGTTATTCAAAAATTACTAATTTTATGAGTATCACACTTTGAATAAGAAAGTTTTTAGGTGTGGTAACTTTGGAAGATATTATAGAGGAAATTCTACAGGAAGAGATTATAGATGAGACAGATCAATATCAGGATATGACTTCGATGAAGCCAGTTAGCAGATTGATTGTGAAAGGACTTCGGCAGAAACTACAGAATCGTTCCTCTTCGTTCTTGAAACAATCTCGGTACGTAAGGTAGCTATTCAAAAGTTTCCCATTCAAGTATTTCGTAGCCTTCGCGGAGAAGGTTATATAGCCATCAAGGAGACTGACCTGAAAACTCTTTTGAGAGGAGCTGACATGGATTATCCGAGACGAGATGACGAAGATGCTTTTAAAATGACAAGTCCCCTATCCGAAAGAAGAGAGAAGGCTAAGAAATCGATGTACCACTGTGAGGGAGCAGCTTCTTTGCCTAATGTTTACGAAGCTTGGAAGGGTAGCGAAACAGTTGCAAAGGATAAGAGTTGGCAGGATAATGACTCCACCGAGCTTAGAAACAAAATATTGGATAGAAAAAGTACATCTGATAAGTTATCTCAGCTATATGCCTCATCTGCTCCAGAAGAATACAGTTGGAGTGGCAAAAACATTTCTGCCAAGTCATCTCTTCATCGTCCGGTAAATGATGTTTTGGCAGGAATCGATAGGCCTTCAGATGACATGATAATTTCACAGTCGCTTTGCCTCCCTTCTATTTGGAATACAGACTTGCCGTTTACGCAGAGTGAAATGACTCCATTACTGGCAACCTCTGCACCGGAGAACAGTTCTGAGTTGCATATGGAAGCGATCCCTGACACCTCTTCCTCCTCGTCTTCCACAGTTTCGAAGGAAGTTGGAGAGCCTTTAGCTCCTGAGGCAAGTAGTGTAGCTATCGCAATTCCAATGGGTGACACTACACAGTCACGAACGAGTTTTGATAGTATTCCACGCTCTAGGCAACTTGTCTTGAACTCTTTTCTTCGATGGAAGAAAAACAAAAGATGACTGGAACGAAGGTTTTTTGGATTGCCTTCGATATACAATAATATATTGTAAATATACTTGAGGTTTTGTTTGTTTGGGAAGTGAAATTAGTATTAGACTTGTGTACTTTGTAAACGTATTTTGGAAAGTTGACACCAACCGAGTGTGGTTAGTCGTGAGCACACAACGAAAACTAACTTGCTACATAACAAAGAGTACGCTCGTTAGTTTTTCAAATGGAATTGAAAGTAAGACCTTCCACAACAAGCCAAGTGGATTCGTTTCTTTAGACGATGATGACTATCCTCGATTGGTAAGAACCCTTCAATAGAGACAGTCAAAGTTGCAGGACAACAAAAGAATCTGGAAAATTTCCTACAAAGAAGACTTGAAAGCCATTTGAAGCTTCTACGGTTGAAAACAAAAATATTTTTCGTCGCATTTTGGTGGACGAATTCTATTATTTCTTGCTTCAGGACAACCTTTAAGCGCTATCAAACCCAACTTGGATAAGTTGACCAAGTAGCTCAAAGAAAGATTCACTCTATTTCGTAGGTCTTCTAAAACGAAATTGGACACTACAAACATTCGACGCAAATGTAAAGAATTCATTTTATGTTATCCTTATCCAAATGATGTTTTCAAAACAAAAAAGCAGTGCCAAAGACTTCAAAACTAGTTCTTGTGGATATGAATCGCCTTCAAAAAAAACTTGTTAACGTTGAACGTCTCATAACTTTCCAATGAGTATAGAACTCAAATTTGCTTCTATACATTACTCTTCGTCATCCGTTAACTCTATGGACTGCTCTACATTCTGAGCCAATCTAGTTGACACAGATCCTACAACAACCTTATTCTGGGAAGGAATCATTCTTTTGGTTTTCATATTGTTGAGATATCTCATCCCATGGGAATGGCTATGTGGAGAATAAGAGACATATATACATATACCTTCTTTTTCCTTAAGTTACTTACCGCCCGTTGTGAAATGCAGATGATTGGAAAACTGCACTACATTCTGTTTGACTACAATTGACGTTTTTGGAACGCTCCATGTTATTAAGGAGAATCGAATCGTTTTTGCTACCAAATGAAACATTAAAAGCTCCTTTGGATATGTTTTCTGAAACACGGACAATGCATTAGATCGATCTAAACATGGAAACATAATTGAACTTACGACATCTGACAGGCCTCATGTACTTCCTTGGATGTAATGCAGAACCTACCGGCACACTATTAAGTTCAGGCCTTTTTGTGGAAGTCTTCGATTTGATGTTTAAACTTTCATGATATCTGCATCGGTTTCCTAACGAAAAGTCGGCATCCTTCGTATAGAAAAGGAAAGAACGAACCAAAACGAGTATCAATGCAAGCACCACAAATCGCACCATCTTTCCGAACTGCAGAACAAAACTATGAAAACTTTGGTAATAGAATAAAACCAGATAATCATAGAAGAATGACAAACCCCATAATATTCAGCCTTGCCCAATACCCATATTTGTTTTGTCTTTTCAACTTGAATAGCGCAACCATCCCCATGGCTTCGCGGCTTTAGTATCCTTGGAGATATGATCTACCGTATAAAATGATATGAAGAAGTAAAACAGATTCAAGGTACCATTAAAACTGTCCCGGGAAGTTCTTTCCAAAATGTATCATAGGCCTGCCTTGTGAGTATCATTGTCAATAAATTTGAATAACGCCCCTGCATGTCACATAGCCTACAGACGGCAAATCTAAAATATAAGTTTCATCTATTTTCCTATATCCTGAAACTCACTTGGATCCATGCTTTCCTTCGCGAACGCTCACTTTCTCCCAAATACAACCAAATAATACAAAGTCTTCGGCACCTTGTGAAACATCAGCCTCTTGCCGAGCCAAATTGGTTCGCAAACTATGATAAGAACAAATTATTTTGTTTTTCCTACATATTTTAAATATGTCTTCAATTCATCTAGAACACTTACAGAAATATGGTTAGAAGAGATTTCTCAACTACTTGAGAACTCAGAGATATTGGAACCACTACTTCTTCTTCCTGTTTCCTTAAGTCCTCAACGTCACCAATTTGTGTGCTTTCAGGTATGGACAAACGATTATTTTTTGAAACTGCTTGGTACAAGTTGTTGGTCTTATTCATTTTGTCGGTCTCTGAAAGATAGTCAAGAAAGTCATAGTCTTGCTTTTCTTCTGAGACTTTCTTAGACTGTTTTCCAACTGGTTTGAGTGGTTCCATATATATTAATCTCCTCACTAAGGGGTTGTCAGCTAAGGAAATGAGGCTTTAGAACTAAGCAAAGTAACTAACAATGCCTGTTTCTCTGAGTGGTTTCTTTAGGCTCCATTCTACGATTACTACTACTATTACCACATTCAAAATGACGGTTTCAAGTAGAGAAATGAAATGGAATAATGATTGGAGGGAAAATCCGTTCATATGCAAGTGCTTAGAAATAAAAACTGTGCTCAATCATTACGGCAAAACAAACCTATAGTTCATGTTCTTACTTTACTGATGTTTGCATCTCTACAAGCCTAAAAATCAGATATAACTTATTTCAAAGTATTAAAGGTCAAGTTATCCTATGTTTGATAAATTTCAAAAGTTACCGGATTTTGCTCTTTCTAAACGATAAGTTGTTTCAACTTTCCCATCATTTTTTACTTGCCAAGTTTCATACCAACGTTCACCTTTTGCATTTCTACCCCATTTTTGTCCAAACTTTTTAATATAAGCAGCACAAGTATTAGTATTTGAATTGGGCAACTCCGTTTCCAGCCACCACTCAGACCAAGGTGTACCATCAGCATCTACACCAAACTTATCTTAAACAGAATTACTCGTCGCGTAAAAGCTACTTTGATATTTCAACTTACCACCCAATTTTTGCCTACTTTCTGTGCGAAGTGTCCACCGCTCCATCCACCATCCACCTTCTTCTTTGTGATAAATATGCTGATCCTTCCAAACAAGTGACTCCATATTTTCAACTCGCCATTCTACCGGAGGTAACCATAGTTGACCGGGATGAATAATATCCATATTCCGTCTATTACCGTAAGTTTCATTGGATGTCTCTGACTGTTCCCTTTTTGGTACACTATCTTGTTTCTCATCTTTCCTAGATTTGCTTTCCTTATTCAAAAATGACAGATTTGATGAATCCAATAAAGACGAAATGTAGGAGTTGTGTTGTGGCGCATTTTTGTCCTTGTATACCGAGGAACTATTCTTTTCACTTTGTACAGGGTACAAAGAATGTCCATGAGACGAATTTTCAGCTACATTTCGAAAAGTGTTGCTATTTTTCTGTCCAAGTGGAATATATCGCTGAATGACGACACTATCTGACCACTGGTTCAATCGACGAGGTGATATTCGTAAACTTCCAGGTAATCGGTGTTCCAAGGTATATGCTGAGGGAGCCTCAGCTGTTGTTGAACAGGCGACGTCACTCATATCAGCTGGTTCTGAATGGGAAGATGATACACTACAGCTACTCAAGGTATCATCGTCTGTATAGTTGTCTCCCTCATCACCTTCCAGTATGGTCTCTAGTTCACTAGAAGATGTGCTCTTATAAAACTTGCCTGCCTTCTTACTCTTAATATAGTTCAAAGTGCCTCTACTTAGCCTAATCTAATATCATCTATTATCAAAAGCTTTCCTACTATTTTCTTTGTTGTATTTACCTTCTTTCCTTGAACCATCTGCTCTTTCAAAACTGCAAATAGAGTTGGGCAACTCCTTGTACGAGCCAATCTCCTGTCGTTATACATTGTCTCTTGCCCAACAAGTGAAAAATACAGAAAATAATAATATTTCACAAAACTGTACAATACATATAACTGAGAGCTAAACTACAGCTTAGTATTATCAGGAAGACCACGACGAGTTACAAACTTGCGCACCCTTGAGCTTAAGCAACTAGCACCAAACCTTTATAAAGAAACAAAACTCTTGTAAATATTCGTGAAACTCTCAAATTCTGTTGTTCCACAAGATAATATATTTTGTCTTTGGTTTCCAAACACAATCAGCAAACATCCTCTCGTTTCCCTCTGTGTAATCTCAAAACGGAATGTTATCGAGATGCGGCTTCTAATGGAATTTTCGATGAGCTCCACATCTTCGGAACAACGAGAAATTCCAAAAGAGCAGCAGCAATGATGGTCTTGCTAGAGAATAGCAAACTCTAGGCTTTCTAACAAGTTTTGAAATGTTGATTTGCGTTTTATGTCTGATCTTTTATGTGTGTGCAGCTCACCCTATCTCTGTAGAGATATTGTTTGTCAAAGTTTGTGGGTTCAAACTCCTGAGAAAAAGGCCAGTTTGGTTGGTAATATTTAAAGTAGTCTTTTTTTGCAGTACAACTTGAAAGTCTCAATTGATTGAAAGGAAATACAAGGCAACTAGTTGTTTCAGAGACACACATTTATTGAAAAAGAAAACACATGAAACTACATATAAAAGGAAGCATATAACTTTTCACTGTGCCAATACTGCTCAAGAAAACCAACCACGCTTCTTTTTGGCTTCTTCTTGAAAAGCTTTCACACCAAGTTCCTCTAGCTTTTGAAACGCTTTCGCAAAATCTTCGAAAAAGCGATCCTGATCAGCAGCATAAGTTTCTACATATTTGCGAAACTCTTTGTCCCATGTTAGAGCCATATCTGTCGGAAGCATAATAATTTCTCCTATTTTAAAGAAACCGAGTTCAAGATACGATACTTTCACCACAACGCATACGTACCAGTGGGGTCCTCAAACATGTCTGGACCATTCCATTTTCTAAGAGTCCACTTATTTTCCAACAATTCTCTGAACAACTCATTGGAAAAGGTTGTCGGAGCACTAAATAACACAAATGTAAAAATGTAACAATCCTCTTTGATATTCTCTCCTTACCGAGTCCAAGGGCCATCATAACCTGAAAATTGTTTATGGGTATGTCCAACTGCATGTGCACCAACTAGAGCTACAATTTCCTGATCATTAAAGCCCATACGATAAAAAATGTCTCGAATATGTTGCACAGTACCGCTTAGAGTACCCTTATCAGCATCTGGTAACCTTCCGTCTGGTGGGCATTCCTGTCCAGACACTGCATCCCTTCTGCCAGGTCTCCAAGCAACCTTGGGACCTCCCATCTCTTCAACAGCGACAGCACCAGCTAATGTCCACAGATCCGCATAAGTTATCTCGGGAAACTGCTTCTTCACAGGCTCCAAAGCATCTCGAGCACGAAATAACCCTGCATTGGCAGCATAATCCTTTTCTGGTGAAAATCGCATAGTAGCGCCATCTGAGCCTCCAGTGTTTGTCTTCTTGTCATAACTTCCAGAGGAGTGCCAGGCTAAGCGCAACATTGCTGGTGCAATATTATCATCTACTTCGATCACCTTTACAATTGCTTCTCTGACTTTATCATAGTTGACAGAACCCTTTGAAGTAGTTTCTGCTTCCTTACAAGAGACAGGAGAGCTCCTTTGCCTTTCAATTCCATAAAAAGCAGCAACTGCAGCACCTATTGTGGCAGCAGCAGAAAGCTTCTTTACAGAAGACCTCCAATAGTTCCCTTGAGTTCCAGCTGAACTAGAAAAAGACCGTGTACTGCCTTTCCAATAACTGGCTGCCTCAGAAACCAAAGAACGACTCTTCAAAGCCTTCTTCAAACACTGGCGGTACATTGTTCCTCCGAGTAGAAAATGTAATTGTTCACTGGCTGAAATGAGTAGTAAGCGTTTGGCACTTTCTTGGCTAAAGCAGGAAATGAGCTGTAAGACATAACGTAAAACTTCAGGTGCACAATCTCATAAATGTCGAAAGAGAGAATCAAAACAATACAAAAGTTATTTATTCCGCCGAATAAAGAATATCTATTTAGGCGAATAAATAGATTTGTGTTAAGGCTTCTCTTCCTGTTAGTAAGAGCAGCCTTTGTTTCTCGTACATTTCACTATTTATGTAGATAGCAAATACTTGATTGGCAAAACGAATAGAGTTAGGGCTCCGCAATCTCAGTGAAGTTTATCCAGACTTCTCGTCGCCTAAGATAGTCTTTAAACAACGACATTCGGAGATTCTGCAGCTTATAACTTTCGAATGAACACTTCTATTCGTCATACATCTTATACTTAATAACACGACGGATCTCCCGATTCTGTTCTCTCTCTTTTATATCTCTTCGCTTATCGAACAGCTTCTTACCAGCTGCTGTTGCAACTTCTACCTTTATGAAGTTTCTCTCTCCAACGTACATTCTATTTACAATAAAAAGGAGTCTTTAGTCTGACTTTTTAAGAACATACCTCGTAGGAATTATAGTGAGCCTGGTTTCTTGTTGACGCTGTTGCAACTTGATAATTTCTGACTTATGTGCCAAAAGTCTCCTTGGTCTTTTTGGTTCGTGGTTAAAAGAAGTACTAGTCGTCGAATGCGGCGAGATTTGCACATTTAACAACCAGAGTTCTCCTCTTTTCACTCGAGCATATCCTGTGAAATTACGGCTCCGTCAACTTAGTTTCTATGAAAAACAAATACAAACCTTCTTTCAAGTTGATATTCCCTTCTCTTGCGCTTTTTACTTCAGTTCCTTTCAGTTCAAGTCCACACTGAAATTTTTCCAAAATTTCATAGTTCCTTTCTGCTATAGGATTAACTGCCACAGTACTACCTGGACCCTTGTACTGAGATTTCCTCCTTGTGGCCATACTCAAGAGAGAAACACCACAACGGTTGCGGACCATATTCTGTGTTACCTTATTCCGTGTTATAAAGATGTAGTCACGATTGTTGCTCCAAAAATATGGATAGTGAAAGCAACAGCACTCACGAAACTCCACTAATGTTCTCATTGCTGTGCTTAACAACTTTGAAATTGATCAAGTTCATCTGGAGGAGATGTTTGCTAGTTGAGCTTAACAGAATGGTCCTTTGTAAACTCTACTCCAATACCGCAAATATTTCTCAATACAAGATGATACAAGACGTGTGCAGCTTTCCTGTTTGATCACAATACTTTGTTCTATCATGTCAGATCACCTCCTATTCAAAAAAAAGTTGCTTCAATATTTCCAATGAGGCTTTGCTCATTGACCCTCTGCAGTTAGAAAAAAGTCCCCTTTATATGACTTTTCTATCGACTAGTAAATTTGTATACTTTTTGAACCGCAGACATTATAGCAAGAAAGAGAAAGCAGAGAATATTCAATTTAGAATAGCCATAATTTTTCAATAGTATTGAAAGCTATCGTCTTTCAGAGTAATTTATTTCTTACTGCTTGGAAGAATGTGATATGAAATCAGACATAACTATGTTTTCTTCTATTATGAAAAGGTAAAAATAGCACCAAGACAAACAATACAGAAACTTTAAGTACCATGGTGCTTAGTGTTTTCATTTTTTCTGAATCATTTTAATATCTTATCTTTTGTACCTTAAGAAACTTCAAGAGTAGCTGGATGGAGAACTATTCCAAATTGGCTATTATAAATTCTCAAATGTCCGAACCTTCTTTGGTAAAATAATGAAGGATTGTTTTTGGTACAAGAATATCAGACATTCTATAGGAAGTTAGAAACTCTTCGGAGTCTTTTGCGCCCAGGAAAAGAACGTTTACCTTTATGAGTAATTTTACCTCTAGTACTGCAGACAAGAAGGACCAGAAAGAAGAACAGAGCTGGAAGGCTTTATTGCGAAACGGTTCTTGGAAAGATTTGTACGATAAAGCGGAAGAGTGCTTTATTTCAGGTAACCATCTCGATGCAGATAACGCTTGTTTCTTTGCTTGTCTAATGCTAGCATCTTTGTTAAAACTGGGAAAACTGGAACTAGCGAGAAAGTGGCTGAACTCATGGAAGGAGCAGTATGGTTTGGAGTAAGTATGCAAACCAAAGTCAGGCAGGTTTGAGAGTTGAAACAAAGATTATAGAGACGTACCTACTGCAACGCTGTTTCTTGTGAGTCCTTTACGCACACAGTACTGCTTATTGGCCATAGAGGTGGCGTTTCGGCTTAGTTCAGAAACCGACGTAAACTGTCGACTGCAACCGTACTTTCGCCTACGAAGGTTGATCGAGGAAAATATCCAAATAGAGGACTCAAGGTGTAACATGTGGCTACTCTTTCTGGATACTTTAGATTCTTGTATAGTAAGTCATCTGTTGGAAGCAAATAGGCTTCAAGCTGTCCTCGAAGTTGCCAAAAATTACTTGAAGAGAAATGTTCAAGATGTCTCTCGCCAGCTTGCCTTTTTTCGCTTACTTTTGTACAGTGGGGATACAGAACAGGCTTCGTTATTCTGGAATACTATAGAGCCTCGAGTTAAGGAAGACAGTGAAAGACACTTACACCGTGGCCTTTTATATGCGTCTCAAGGACACTTGGAAGACGCAATAGACGAATGGGAGGCTGCTGCTCTCTTTGATCAGAGTTATGAAACTATTTTGACGAATAATATTGCTGTAGGGTATCTGTTACAAGGACGCATCTTTGAAGCTATGGAAAGGATGGAACACATATTTCACAAAAGCCCAATTCCTGCTTTGAAAGAAGACTTGGTAAAACATATATGTATTTGCTACGATATGTTACTGGCAAATGCACAAGAGCGCAAAAGCTCTATTCAACACGCTTTATCCAATGAAGCTCTTGACAGTTTCCATTTCAAAATAACCCAGCGGCCACTGAATCATGAACCGAGGAAAGAATAAGAAAAGAGGGGGATATTATTCTTAAATAAATTCAAGATCTCTTACAACAACAATGTTTCAACTAGCGATCATATCCAGACACCTACACCAGTCAGCGATTAAATATTCTTTGGTTTAAAAAAATTCTTTACCTTCCATTCCACCGCATCTNACAAAACCGACTGAATCCTGTGTCGGTTGATAGTAATTCTTTTGTCCATTNCTTGTTCTCGAATCTTGTGTAAGCCATGTTTATGAACAAGTTTGAAAACTGCACGACGAATCGCTGGCACTGGTGGGGTAAATGAACTCGTAGAAATGCGATCTGCATGAGAGTCCATAAAATTCCAAACCGCATCGGCTGCTNCTNATGCCTCAGAAGCAAATCCGTCTTCAGCATACATCTCCAACAAAGACAACCAGGGACTGACAGTCGCTGACTTCTCAGCACCAGAGTTCTTGGAAGAAAGGATAATAGCTNTACGGAAAGCTCTTTCTGCATCGCTGGATCGCTGAATGCGACGAGCAAGTTCACCACGTCGCAACCAATCAACGGGTGGCCTTTTAGTTTGTTTTGCAATTTGGTCGGCATCTNATGATTGAGCGATATATGAAGCGTCATTTTGCATTTGCGAAGCTTGCGTTTCATTCTGACTGTTTGTACCAGATGAAGAAGCTTGATTAGGCTGGGAACTCGTATGGGATGTAGACGTCCCACTTGTGCTGCGCAAATTTTGAGCCATTTGTTCATCTTCCGCTTGCCAAATAGCTNAAGCTCTTNGGTCTTCGTACATATTATTCNCGAGGAAATCTNACCAAGGAGTACACATTTTCTTTTTATGCCCTTTCGATGAATAAACTTCCAGGGATGCGTGTTTGTTCTTCNAAATGCGCTGTTCGCTACTTCCACCGACTTCTCTGACTTTATCTTCTTTTNCACTGGATGAATCATTTCCTTGAACTTGATTATCTTCGGTTGCAACGTTCTTTGTCTGACCATCTGTTCCATTTGTCTCGGCGGATAAAGTAAAGTCTTTTCCAGGCGAAGGTTGACCTTTCGAAATTTTAGTTCCAGCTGTATCTGAAGAAGACTCAGCATTTTCTTGAGAAGATGAAGCAGCTTCTTGCATCTTCCCGACATCAGTTTCATGTATTTGTTCAGTTGACGATTCTTGTCCTTCAGGAAGATGTGAAATATCCGCTTCCATGATAAACGCATCTGAACGAGCATTCNATATTTCATCCCAGCCAAACTTATTCNATGCCTTTNCCAATACTTGGTAAGCTTGCTTTTCAGGATCTGTCNTTNGCGTTGCTGACAGTTCAGCAAGTGACTCATCAACTCCAGTCGCAGGGCCGATTCTTTCTTCGTGTAGTCGCTTCGCCAATACTCGAATAATGTCTGTGCCACCAGAAGTATTGGGCAAAGGCTTTGTCNTTCGCTTTCTTGCAGGTAACAATTCTCTCNAAAATGGGTCTNACGTGGGTGGCTCCATAATTGCCGAGTTGAGTGCAATCNAAGACTCTNCAAGATCTCCTTTTTCTNCGTACAAATTAGCCAAGTGAATCCAGGCCAAAGTATCCTTTTCATTTNCTTCCACAGCTTTCTTTGCTTCTNCAAATGCTGCATCCAACTGACCAGTTTCCAAATA